AGGGCTGGTTCATGGCTGGAGAGCACCAGGGCTGTAATAATATACGGTTGTATGCCGAAGGACACGACCTACTTATAAACACACGCAGAACATTCTAGCATGCTCTGGAAAAAAATTGTACTGGATATTCAAGAAATTCCGAGAACTTTCTTTCCAATCAGATAATTATAGTATAATATAGTAACAGTTATCTTTCTTACGCGAGGTTTATCCAACACAGATCCAGTCTCTTTAAATTTGGATAATAAATTCACGACGCAACTGTGAGTAATAGGTTCACGGTTTGGATTGGCTTCATTTAAGTCCGCAGCTGTCTGCCTTTGCGGTACGTGAACCACGCATCAAAAATATTTACACCCTTTCGTCCTTGAATGAATGCTTTGTCTTCACTTGACCCTCACGAATGTGAATCTGAAAAAAAGAGGAAATTTTGATGACTCCATAAGATTCCATGTAAATGGAGCACCCTGCACTCAGAAGAGGTTCAAGGTGTAAATGGACTCATGGGACACCCTGTAGAATTCCACGGTACAAAGATGGAATGCATCGCGTCAGTGCAGTTCCCAGTTTACCGCGCTCAAAGATTCACGCAGAACCGCAGGGAAAATCGGTGAATGCCGCAAAGACTTAGGATCCCAACCGTTCGTTCCCTCGTTTCACTGGAGCCGACGGAGTCTGCGTGCCCAGGACCGTCTTGTATCATCCCTTCGACGGAATTCGAGGGAAAGAAAGGGATCGGACGACTGGAAGCACGGGAGGACAGCCGGCTAAAGCCGCAACGCCTTCCTGGGAATTCCGCAACGGTAACTTTTTTCACGGCCTCTCGCCTTTCGAGGGCGAAGCTATTTGTTTTCATGCCCTTAACTTTGGCAATGATAGAGAGTAATTTCCCCCCATGTTCAGATTTACCAGGAGTTCAGGTAAGTAGTATAAAACACCACCTTGACCGAACTTAAGAGGAAAAATACGTCTCCGAGATTCCGGCTTAAGACCTTAAGAACAGCTTAACAGCGTCTTTTTTTTTCTTTTCTCTGTTTTTTTTTTTCGGAGATGAAAAGCTGGGGCCTCAAGGCGCGTTTAAAAGGGGAAAGATTTATAACGAATGCCGTAAATTATGCTTTTGACATTTTATTTCAAGATATTGAAATTATCATACTCTCATTTTCCAACGTTGAAACATTCTTCGCCAATTATAATAATTTATGGTTGTTCCCGTCACTCCATAAATAAACGCAAAAGCTCATCCGGCCAGACTTTCCGGCGCTAATCCGGCGCATCTTGATCTTCCTGTAAATACTTATTGCTTGACCGATCCCTCTTGCCGATCGTTATCGGCTATTTCCTTCGTCCTTTGGCTCTTGCTGCATTTTGGTTTTATCATTGGGGTTTCCCATTTCTTTGGAAATGGCAATGTCCCAACTTATTAAAGGTAACATTTTGAGGTCTGATGCGACAGAAGACTGAGCGATAAGAGCGCGAAATTAAAATCCTCGCCGTCGGGACAAGACGGGAAATGTTCCGACGAGTTACGGAATTCGCGGATAGGCCATATTCCGATCGGACGATTTCCGCGACGTCTGCAATGCTGATATTAGAAGAGATTCGAAGATGAATCACCTCTTGCCGAGTTGCAAAATTCTCGGTGGACCGACCGGATAAGCAATCGATAGCATCATCTATCATAAAATATAATTATAGAATATATAATTATATGAAATATGTCCAACACGTATCCAACACTCGGACTCTCACTTTTGGGCACGGTATTCAACAAGCAGTACTTTCCCTTGCCGCCACTGATTATTTTCCCAGCGGAGATGAGGGGACGGTCATCGTATTCACGTCAGAGTACATATGGCACTTTCCTTTAAACTAGACAGGGTACTCATTCAGGTTTTCGCAAGGAAGTAATGCAGCAGGAAAGTGACATGTTACGGAATTGCCTTCCACTTTCACGGGTGTTGCGGAATCCCCCCATTCGCCCCACTCACAAACAGGCACACCAGAACACAATGGAGGTCGCACGCGAACGGCAGGCAGCGGCTGAGCCAGGATCCGCCGGCTCGGAAGGGAACTGAATGAGGATGGATGGATGCTCCTTGGAAAGGGAGAGTGGATGGGGATGGATGGATGCTCCTCGGAAAGGGAACTGGATGAGGATGGATGGATGCTCCTCGGAAAGGGAGAGTGGATGGGGATGGAAGGATGCTCCGCTGGAAAGGGAGAGTGGATGGAATGCAGTCGCTTGGCGAGGAGGGCCGTCGGGGTTTTCCTATCCATTCAACCGGTCGTGGTCCCGTTCGAGTTAACGTGTCCTCCGCGCGGATTCCTTGTTGACCCAGATAATCGAAGTAAGAAGTCGTCCAAGCGGTTGCGTCACTCATATCTCCTTCGTTTGTTTTCCAGATTCTTATGCTGACGTGAGGTCGAATTAAAGGGGACTAAAAAAATGTAAGCGAGAAAACATTCGATTCAAATTCTGTTTGGGGGATGAAACATTGCTCGCAAGACGTATGGGATAACACCGCGAATTCTCATGTAGTCACGTTTATATATTCAAAGTAAAAATTCGGTTATTAGACTAAGAAAAAAAATGAAGAACAACCGTAACGTTCACGATATGAAAATCCCTCTCCCCGAGTCCTCCCCACGGTGTGGTTCGCGATCGGATTTTGAGGGCACCGGTACGGTCAGTTCGAGCTGTCGAGGCCTGGTGCATTGTATTGTCTTCGTGCTGATCAGAATCCATCTTTCCACGCTCCACTATGATATTATGCTTTCTTCTTTCCAAGCCGTTGGTGCGTGCGCAAGATTTGGGTCGACTCGTGGATTTCGGACCTTAGGCCTTAGGCCGTGCTTTCAGGGAGTTCAGATGTAGGTGATGCATTTTGCGTGCCGTGACGGTAAGGGAGAGTTGACGGAGAGGCAACGGATGGCGACAACTCTAGGGGTGAATTTTTGAAGAGAGCACTAACCGATAATGCAGTTTTATTTACCGTATTTATAATGCATTTTCTCTTAAATAGAGCTGTATTATCGAATAGTGCTCTGTTCAAAAATCCAACCTGAGACACCGGGAAGGACTTCTCTCGAGAGGGCGAGCAGCCGCGGACTCGTGACTCTCTGCCTCTTTCCCTCGAAAGCAGCTGTCCCCCCCCCCCTCGAGGGGGGGGGGGGACAGCTGCTCCGCATGCGAGCATGCAGAGGCGAACGGGTTCATCTGGATGAGGTCGGTTTCCTAATCGCTTGCGAGGTCGTCGAGATCGATCCTTCGCCGTGGTGTCTCCGTTCCCTTTCTTCCATGACTCGGTTGCATCATAAGAGAGGCTGGCTGGCGGATACCTCTAACAAAGAAGGCTTCCGTGATGGTCTCTTACAGGGGTTCCACATCCGTTCGAAGCCTCTCCAGGTAATTTTTAAAGCGCTCGGTCGTCTTGCATGATCGGAAGTCTGCTTCTGGACGTGGGAGAGTTCGTCCGCTTAAAAAAAAAATATTTAAAAGTCAAGAACTGTGTTATTAGGGAAAATGAGGATGAAATTTTGATGCCATGCAGGAATCCGTGCTTTTAGTATCAACGTGAATAAAATGGGGGGGAAAGCAATGATGGGGTTTTGACAAATAAAATTTACTTTCCACCCAATTTTGGGATATTGACAAAAGTTTCCACTTAATTTCAAATGGTCGCAAGTGATATATGAATGTATGTAGTTTGGGAAAATATGTTTGATTCAAGAAGGGGTACAAAATTAAATGTCAGTGTCAAATGTCAATGTTTTCTGTCAGCATTTTCGCTGACAGAAATTTTAAAATGTCATATTCATAAAATAATAACGGGGTTTAATACCGCGAGTGCACAGTGAGTATTATTAAGTAAGCGATAAATTATTTTCAGAAATCTTTGCGCATTTCAGAGCCCTCCGATTATGATTTTTTTTCCTCCGCAACTATCGCAGATACAGAGGTAAATAAGCTACCATATTTCATCGCTTGGATGGGAGGACCACATAAGTACTTTTTTTATTATCGAAGACCTGACAGTCCATGCCTCATTTGAAATGGAACCACGCAAGAATCTCTTTCCGCAAGATTTTTAGTCCAAGGTCGACACTAGGCAGGGGCGTAAATATTGTTAAGGTACTACTAGTTTGTGTCGTAATCCGTTGTCGGGTTCGGGTGGAGATAGGTCACAAGGTAACAACAAAACAGATGTTTATTTTCTCTCATTCATCCACTACTAGAATCAATTCATCCGCCGAATCCGAAGCGGAGTCCTGATATCCGGGGATTGACGTCGCTCTTGATCTCTTTCTCGGTGGGTCCCACTCGACCGTCGTGAATGACTATAAGGTTTGCAGGAGCTTTCTCCAGATGTCCTTGCAGGGACTAGTTTTCTGGTGATTCCTCAGCATGTCGGGTTGGAAGGCCTGCAGTACTTCCCTACTTCCAAGCATAAAGCTCTAAAAATAACTCTGTGTAACTATTACATCGGGACCAGTGCATATAATTTAATCCACTATTAATCCCGAATAAGAAATACCGGGGCTCACTAGTGACACCTATTGGCGGAGGCTGTAAAAAAAAAGTCAGGGGTCAATCACCCCAAGAGGGGTCGCATGCTTTCCACTCCCTTACCATGACAATACAGTATATGTATGATCACATTTCAGAGATCAGCTAAGAATGGGCTCTTCCCAACTTCCCAAAAGTGGGTTTGTCTCATGCAACTTTTTCTTCAGACAAGATTCATCGTCAAATTCAGTCCTCGCAGGGATACTCTCTTGGCAGCTGTGTCATTACTGGGTCATTCCATCTCAAATCAGCCAGAGGCCGGAGCATGACCCCCTTCGATATTGACGAAAAATTTTTTTGGGGTACCCCTCATGGCCCAAAGTAAGAATGCAAAATGTTGGCTTCGGGTACGGAGCCGTTTAAGCGCCATAATTCGCTAAATTTTGTGAAATTTCAATAAAGGGTCGCCTCCTCATGCTCATGTGGGCCGAAAACTTTTCGGCCTAAATGAACGCAACAAACACCTTTGTTCTTTAACCTTATGACTGCTGGGTTTTTATGGGCCTGTAATACCCCCTGTGCTGGGTTTTCCCCCAAAAAATGCAAATTTCAGTTGTCCTTGATATTTACTTAAATGTGGAACCATAATGAGTGATACATACATATATGATGTCCATTTAAGTTGTTAACCTTTTCAAAGGTTAACAAAAGTCAAAAGGTTAAAAAAAGTTAGACTTTCGAAGTTATTTTATATACTTCAATCCACGAGGCGATACTGAATTAAATAAAACTATGCCAAATTTGCAAAATTTTGGCATATTCAGAAATTTGCAAAACGTCAACATATTCATAAAACCCAATCATCTGGTATGTTTTTGGAATCAGCTAGGAAAAATCTAACAATGTTTGTCCCATTTTCGTCCCAACAAATTCCACTGAAGATGTGATGCTTCGAAATATGCAATAATCACAAATTTCGCAAAAAACGAATCAACGAATGATTAACTTATTGGCTCAACCTATTGATGGACCTGACTTGAGCTGGTTCGAGGAGAAAAAAGATATCCAGTTAACATAAGAAGTAATAAGCAGTGATTCCTTGATACCATCAACAAGATTACTGAAATCAGGTTTCCTTTTGGTTAACAAAACTAAAGAGTGAATCAATTTTGGTCCCTCTTTACCCGTTTACTAACTTCACAAAGGTTAGTTCTCAATAGTCTGAGCTATCATCCAAGTGCCACGATGCATTAACCAACTTTGTCTATTATCGCGTGAAATAATTAATTACCGGTTATTTATTTCTCTGCTATTCGGAACTTATGCAAGATTTGTGATGTCTAGGATGGGATACGAATGCCCGTTGAACGTTTTTAGCCTTGCCGATTTCTACGTCCACACGCTGGCCATCGTCCCCGGAGAGGAGGAAGAACATCGGGAACGGGTTTCTCGGATCTGCGACGCGTTCAAAGAGTCAGTAGATCGGAAGGTTCCGGAAGGGGAGGTCGGCTTCTCTGGCGAGGTGGATGACGATGGGAGCCCGAATGACCCAGACGAGAAGGGGAGCGAGATGACGTTCAAGTACAAGGTGTCTTGGTTCGCACAGTTTTGCGCCGTTTTCGTCCGATGCTGGACTGTTAACCTACGGGAACCCTACGTCATCAAACTTCGTCTTCTTCAAAGCCTGGTTGGTACCGCTCAAATGCAGTATCAGAAAGCGAGTTCGACTTAGATCAAGTTGCAAGGTCTTACGATTCAACTTCAAGGTCTTCAATTTAAAAGGTCACGCGAAAACAATTCCACTGAAGAGAATATCAGGAGTCAGGAGTCAGGAGTCAGGAGAGTTAGTGATATCAAGAGGCGATTTCGCCCATTTCNTGGCCATTGATCTCAATGGAACTCAACGGAGCTAGAATTCGAATGAGAAAATCACAAAATATAAATTCAGAAATGGAAAAGGCTTTCAGAGGAAATTGCTTGAGTTTGAGCTAATTCACCCAAACATGAAGTGAATCCATGGCGTTGCGACCTCCCAACACGGCCTGAGTTTGTCCTGCCGAATATGAAAAATAAAACCTATGATGTAGAAGAAGCAAAGGCATAATAATATAAGCATAACATGAGGAAAATGTATTGGTCTAAATAAGCTAAAATAGCAATAAGGGTAATCAAAACATTCGACAGTTCATTCCATTTCATTCGATATCTTTTGAGGGGGGGATCCCATTTCTCTCAGGGCCTGGATCTTAGGCCTAGATCAAATCCACGGACTTTCTGCAGGTAGGGCCTAAGCCTACCTATTTTTTCGTTTCAACGAAACTCAACCCTTGACTCACGGGGCTAATTTGGCATATGAGGGTCAATTTCGGGATTTTGGTGCGGATGGACTACGTTAGATCGATCGCTTGCCTGTTTTGACCCGAACAAGACCTGGAACAACAACTTCAGGGAGGATGTGTGACCGTGGGGCGATTATGGACCTGTTTCGAGTTTCATGGACCATTTCAACGTGGATGTGTGACGTCAGGCTTATCTGGAGTTTCTCGAACCAACTCGTCGAGGTATGTGGAGAGAATGCTTCTCTCGGGTTGAAATGCATCTTGGGCGCCATCCTGTAAATTCAGGGATGTCCGTGCACGACATATCCGCATCCAAACACATCAATTGGCCATTGCTTACTACTGTTTCAATCTCGGCTCATGCAATGAACTTGGCACAAAAAATCTCGTACATTAAAAACAGAAAATCCAGACATCGACACCGAGTCCGAAACAGTCATGAATCCGACATAACTCCAGCACGATATCCGGCAACCCGGGACTGGAGCCACCACGCTAAGCCTAAATAAAATACAGCTAATTTCCTTTTTTATTATAGCGAAATGATGCATCGTAAATAACGAAAAGGCCCCTTTTAGGCCCCTTTATTCCCCCCCCCCCTCCCCTAGCCCTCTTGGGGCTACTCAGGGGGAAGGAAACATAAAGGATTGAAATTGACTTTAAAAAAGCGAGGATCTGTCTTCTCCACATTCCCGGGAAGATGGAGATTCGAATTTGCTTGAGCGATTCTGTATTGAGAGGCTATGAAGCATGCTCAATTTCGTTTATCTAGATGCTCTCTGAGAGAAATACGAGGAGGTTCATTTTTTTACGGGTAGGGGTTCAAGAGAGGGAATAGGCGCTACCGAAGCCTATTGATAAATATGGAACTCGATAAGTGGAAACACAATACTTGTTTATTCTTGGAACTGCTTGGTGGGAACCAATCAAAAGTGTCGTTAGTCAAAAAAGTGAGTGAACTTCATTTGCAAGTCCATTCTATTTGCAATCGCGAAAAGGTCATCAGAAAAAGGATTGAATTCTTGTTTTGGCTTCATTTGGTGGACTTCAGTATTGAATGTCGCACATAATTCACGATAATCTGCATTTAGGCATCGCCTTCTTCCCTTTCGCAGATCATATCAATCTATGCAGGCTAAATATTCATTAAAGGCATGCATACGTATACTCGTATGTTGGTTGCATTAAGTGTTGGTTGAAAAATGTGCTAGTTTCATTCAAGGAAACTTCCACCTCTAGTAAACACGAGGAAACCATATCTCGTTGAAAGGCAACCACAAATATGCAAAAGAGTAAATATTTGCTGAAGGACAAGCAAAAACAAGGGTCAGACAAGTCTTATNAGATTAACTAAAATTGACATAAGCCGTCTCAAATGAAGAGAGACTTACCCAAAGTGAATCGGAGCAACTTAATTATCCATTTTACGTAACTTGAGCGTAGCTTTTCGAGAGGTTTGCCGAAGAAAATTGAAGGAAAAAAGATCAAGAGTGGTCCAAGTGACCCAAATTCACCCAAAATGAATCAACGAATGATTAACTTATTGGCTCAACCTATTGATGGACCTGACTTGAGTTGACTCGAGGAGAAAAAATATATTCAGTTAAAATAAGAAGTAATAAGCAGTGATTCCTTGATACCATCAACAAGACAACTGAAATCAGGTTTCCTTTTGGTTAACAAAACTGAAGAGTGAATCAATTTTGGTCCCTCTTTACCCGTTTACTAACTTCACACAGGTTAGTTCTCAATAGTCTGAGCCGGAAATCATCCAAATGCCACGGTGCATTAACCAACTTTGTCATTTATCGCGTGAAATAATTGATTGCCGGCTATTTATTTCTCAGCTATGCTAACTATGCTAACTTTCTAGGCTAACTTATGCAAGATTTGTGATGTCTAGGATGGGATACGAATGCCCGTTGAACTTTAACCTTGCCGATTTCTACGTCCACACGCTGGCCATCGTCCCTGGAGAGGAGGAAGAACATCGGGAACGGGTTTCTCGGATCTGCGACGCGTTTAAGGAGTCAGTAGATCGGAAGGTTCTGGAAGGGGAGGTCGGCTTCTCTGGCGAGGTGGATGACGATGAGAGCCCGAATGACCCAGACGAGAAGGAGAGCGAGATGACGTTCAAGTACAAGGTGTCTTGGTTCGCACAGTTTTGCGCAGTTTTCGTCCGAAGCTGGACTGTTAACCTCCGGGAACGTCATCAAACTTCGTCTTCTTCAAAGCCTGGTTGGTACCGTTTAAATGCAGTATCAGAAAGTGAGTTCGACTTGGATCAAGTTGCAAGGTCTTGCGATTCAACTTCTAGGTCTTCAATTTAAAAGGTCACGCGAAAACAATTCCACTGAAGAGAATATGAAAAATACAACCTATGATGTAGAAGAAGCAAAGGCAGAATAATGTAAACATAACATGATGAAAATGTATTGGTCTAAATAGGCTAAAATAGAAATAAGGGTAATCATCAAAACACTCGACAGTTCATTCCAATTCATTCGATATCTTTTGAGTGGGGGGGGGGGGGATCCCATTTCTCTCAGGGCGATGCAGTTATGAAGCAGTACGGAAACCTTTTTTCTAGGGTTTTTCCATTTTCTTCAAACTTCTCACTTACCTTGTGCCTAGATCAAATCCACGGGCTTTCTTCAGGTAGGGCCTAAGTCTACCAATTTTTTTCATTTCAACGAATCTCAACCCTTGACTCACGGGGCTAATTAGGCATATAAGTGTCAATTTCGGGATTTTCGTGAGGACGGGCTACGTTAGATCGATGGCTTGCCTGTTTTGACTCGAACAAACCACTTCAGGGAGGATGTGTGACCTTGGGGCGATTATGGACCTGTTTCGAGTTGCATGGACCATTTCAACGTGGATGTGTGACGTCAGGCGTACCTGGAGTTCCTCGAACCAACTCGTCGTGGTATGTGGGTTGAATGCTTCTCTCGGATTGAAATGCATCTTGCGCGCCATCCTGTAAATTCAGGGATGTCCGTGCACGACATATCCACATCCAAACACACCCATTGGCCATTGCTTACTACCGTTTCAGTCTCGGTTCATGCCATGAACTTGGCACGAAAAATCTCGTACATTAAAAACAGAAGATCCAGACATCGACACAGAGACCGAAACAGTCATGAGTCCGACATAACTCCAGCACGATATCCGGCAACCCGGGGGGCTGGAGCCACCACGCTAAGCCTAAATAAAATAAAGCTAATTTCCTTTATTATAGCGAACTGATGCATCGTAAATAACGAAAAAAGGCTCCTTTTATGATACACAAGTCATTATCTTTCCTTTGGTTGGTTCATTTCTCCTAAATTTCCCCAGGAGTCAGGGGGGGGAAATAATGGAATGAAATTGACATGAAAAAAGTGAGAGTCTGTCTTCTCCACATTCCTGAGAAGGTGGAGATTCGAATTTCCTTGAGCGATTCTGTATTGAGAGGGTATGAAGCATGCTCAATTTCGTTGCTCTAGTTGCTCTCTGAGAGAAATACGAAGAGTTTGATTTTTTTACGGGTAGGGGCTCAAGAGAGGGAATAGGCGCTACCGAAGCCTATTGATAAATATGGAACTCGATATTCGAAACACAATGCTTCTTTATTCTTTGAACTGCTTGGTGGGAACCAATCAAAAGTGTCTTCAGTAAAAAAAAGTGAGTGAACTACATTTGCAAGACCTTTCTATTTGCAATCGCAAAAAGGTCATCAGAAAAAGGATTGAATTCTTGTTTTGGCTTCATTTGGTGTTGAATGTCGCACATAATTCATGATAATTTGCATTTAGGCATCGCCTTCTTCCCTTTCGCAGATCATATCAATCTATGCAGGCTAAATATTCATTAAAGGCATGCATACGTATACTCGTATGTTGGTTACATTAAATGTTGGTTGAAAAATGTGCTAGCTTTATTCAAGGAAACTTCCACCTCTAGTAAACACGAGGAAACCATATCTCGTTGAAAGGCAACCACAAATATGCAAAAGAGTAAATATTTGCTGAAGGACAAGCAAAAACAAGGGTCAGACAAGTCTTATCAAAAGTAGTGAGCGAGAAATATCTGCCATCCCCAGACTTTGGAAAAGGATCAAGAAGATGAGGGCAAATGGAAACATTGCGACCAACATTCTATTTCAGACCTCAAAGCGTAACAGACAAGAAACGAGGAGTAAATTTCATCCCTATTACAAAGAGTGAGACTCTTCAAACGGATTTCACGTTCACATTCACGTTTATTTCACGTTCGCCGAGATGCCCGAAGGAGAATACTCAGGAAGGCAATGGTGTTAAACCCTGCCAACATGGCCGACAGCATCAGCAAGTCCCGGAGTTCATTGTCCTAGGGAAGAAATACGGCACTCGTTCACGTAGCTTCAACTTAGAAACTTATACTTAAATGTAATCTTAGCAAAGTGAATCGATGAAGGGCACCTTGTCGAAATTGAAGTATTCGAGAATGGCGTTGCCATTGGGAGAACACCCGACGGAATCCCCGCAGTCGATCTCGAGGTCTTTCCACTGATTGATCATGAGGGCCTCGTTCCCGTAGTAGAACCACGAGATGTACTTCAGCCAAAGGAAGTACACGGGGACTGAACTACGAAAGCAGCAAAGCGGGGGGGGGATTAAGTTTTGGAGGACATGGCAGGAGATCGGGAAGCCATGGGACTCAGAACGGTCTCTCTGAAGCTTGCAAAAGATGAAAAGTGGAAGAAACGTATTTCATCTGTAACCTTTTCATTGTTTCGAGAATTTTTTTCAGAAATATTAAGAAAGGCACATACCACTGAACGGTATATCTAAAAACCTCTTAATTGTCACTGATGGCTATATTCTCATCGGATATCCGATATCCGATGGAAAAACTGTACCATAAGTAATGAGACATCTCTTTCTTTTCAGTAGCGAGAGATAAAAGCAGAGCAATGGTTTTCATCAGTAGCCAATGATGGCGATGATAAATTCTGCGATGAAAATGCAATCAGACGCACTCGTTGTTGAGGAAAAAGCCCCCAAACAGCATGAACGGAATGAACATGGGAGTTCCGATGGTGATGGCCAAGTTGATGTTCTTAGTCATACAAGAACACATACAACCTAAGGGGAAAAAACCAAAGTGCATATCGTTAGTCGTTCAGACTCGTCTCTGTGAAGGAAAGTTTTTTGAAACTACCGAAAGAAGTGGAGACATTCGAGATGATGGTCATTATGAGTATGCAGTAGAAAAAGCGATCGATGGACTCGTTGAGGCCGATCATGAAATAGGCGATGGACGTGGCGATGATTGGAAAGATGCTGGAGAATGGGAACTCGGCTATAAACTTGCTGATGAAATACACGTCTGTTCTATACAGTCCACTTTGGTGTTCCCTCAAGAAGACGGGTAACTCTTCGCAGAACACCTATTTGCATGGAGATGGACATCCCGAACGGGTTTTAAAAATATAGTAATGTGAGAACAGATGCAAATGATAAATATATATTGTTCTTGCAAATAAACAGAGTAGTAGCGAACTCTCCAAATGAACAAGAAAAACGAACGTAAAATGTGTGGTCCATCCTTGCACAGAATGAACAAAACTCACGTTGAACATTGCCAAGGCATTCTGGTAGCTCGCAAAGATGAGGAAGATGAAGACAGCACCGTTAATGTTCATCACTCCCTCGACCGTGTGGTAATCTTGTCTAAGGTATACGACCCCAAGCAGTAAAGCCACCATCTATAGACATAAAAGGCAATGAGGTCCTCATGGATGCAATGTCCCAACAAAAATTTGAGTGAAGAATTAATCAACTTCAGAGGGATCAATGGATATAGGTTAATGGTATATCTCATATTCCTCAGATCGAAGCAAACTTTGTACGAGCTATAGTACATTCAGAGCTCAGAAAACCTCGAGGTTTCAATTTAAAACCTCAAATGTGACCCCTTGTGTAGGTCCTCCTGGAAGCAGAAACCTCTACAAAGTTTCCATCCAACTCGCACGAGTCTCACCGGGATCCCGGTCAAGTTTCCATCTGGTACTGTTGCTTCTGAAAACGTATGCATTGAGGATCTGATGAGGATGACACATGGAGACCTCAAGCAAAAATATACAAAAGCTAACTCAACCGGTAAGAAGAGAGTATTTCCATCTGGAAAAAAAAAAAATGATTCCGATGGACAATTATTAACACTAAACATCTCAGTAGTGTTGAATGTATGTTAAATCATTGCATTCTAAACTGGCATGTTTCGTGCGAAAGAAGTGCTGAGCGAGTTCAGTGCCATAGGGAAACTGCACTGCTTTCACTAAAAAAAAAATAGCTTTTACTTAATCGAGAGAGAGGCACTTCTAAATTCTGACAACGAACATTTACCGACAAAACAGTTTAATCAGTTTAACACGATACGAGGAAATACCGGAAACCCATTTTAACCTGAGTTCTTCGCTTCTAAGTCTTACCCGATTACACGACCCCTTGAAGGACGTACGTAAGTATAGACAAAGATAGTCGATGGTCATTGTTTGTAAAGTTTTGTTTTATGACTCGCCAGCAGGCCAGAAAAGGAGAAATTGTTCGCCCTCATTGATCCCAAGCCCCAAAGGACTCTGGCGCTTCTTGGCGCCAGACAGATTTCCTATGGCCCATTGTCATTCCCTTTATTCAGAGAATTCAGAGAAGAGATTTTTTGTAGCTCTGCCTCGAATGAGGTTTAGGATTCCGGCCGATGTTCTTTTCCCCTGTCGGGGGTACTCCACCGGACAGATATCTTTTTGGAAAGGTACGAAGTATATTTTCATATGAAATGACTATGTCAATGAGAAAATATTCACCCAAACACACGCTCGGAAGCACACGCATGCACATATATTAAGAGCATTAAGGGTGGGACTATAAGTGATCTCTCTTGCTTTTGGAAATCAGGCTCACTAAATGAAATTGAAGACCTAGAAGTTGAATCGCAAGACCTTGCAACTTGATCCAAGTCGAACTCGCTTTCTGATACTGCATTTGAACGGTACCAACCAGGCTTTGAAAAAGACGAATTTTGATGACGTAGGGTTCCCGTCGGTTAACAGTCCAGCTTCGGACGAAAACGGCGCAAAATTGGGCGAACCAAGACACCTTGTACTTGAACGTCATCTCGCTCCCCTTCTCGTCTGGGTCATTCGGGCTCTCATCGTCATCCACCTCGCCAGAGAAGCCGACCTCCCCTTCCAGAACCTTCCGCTCTACTGACTCTTTGAACGCGTCGCAGATCCGAGAAACCCGTTCCCGATGTTCTTCCTCCTCTCCAGGGGCGATGGCCAGCGTGTGGACGTAGAAATCGGCAGGGTTAAAGTTCAACGGGCATTCGTATCCCATCCTAGACATCACAAATCTTGCATAAGTTAGCCTAGAAAGTTAGCATAGTTAGCATAGCTTAGAAATAAATAGCCGGCAATCAATTATTTCACGCGATAATAGACAAAGTTGGTTAATGCACCGTGGCATTTGGATGATTTCCGGCTCAGACTATTGAGAACTAACCTGTGTGAAGTTAGTAAACGGGTAAAGAGGGACCAAAATTGATTCACTCTTCAGTTTTGTTAACCAAAAGGAAACCTGATTTCAGTTGTCTTGTTGATGGTATCAAGGAATCACTGCTTATTACTTCTTATTTTAACTGAATATATTTTTTCTCCTCGAGTCAACTCAAGTCAGGTCCATCAATAGGTTGAGCCAATAAGTTAATCATTCGTTGATTAATTTTGGGTGAATTTGGGTCACTTGGACCACTCTTGATCTTTTTTCCTTCAATTTTCTTCGGCAAACCTCTCGAAAAGCTACGCTCAAGTTACGTAAAATGGATAATTAAGTTGCTCCGATTCACTTTGGGTAAGTCTCTCTTCATTTGAGACGGCTTATGTCAATTTTAGTTAATCTGGAGCATCTTGGATATCAAGTCGTGGGGTCGTTTTGGACCTCCGAGTTACTTGGACCAGAATTCGTTCATGTAACTTCAGCCTTACTGCATTAGTGCATTTCGTTAATTGCAAGTATCCAAGATGTCCTTCTGTGCCGAAGTCATTCCTTAAAGGACAGAGTAAGACACACGAAAATGACTTGGCTAGGACATAATCGAGCGGCTCTCATCACATATTCTCCATGCTCCAATGCCTTTTTGGAACGTGGAAGTGAATAGCAGAATTCTTTTCAAGCATTGGATAATTGGAATCTGACACAGGAGTTGAAGAGCCTACGTCTTCCGTTATTTTCCAAATACAAAGGTTAATCTGATTTATTCCAAGTTGTTGTCCTGCCTCTGGCGATTGTCTATTGGACCAATCGTGAAGCACCGACACATAATGGATACGCACTTCATTGATACGTTCAATTCTTTTTTTACGGTTCACGAGACTGCATCACTCAACTGCTCCTTTCAGCTCCCATAAAATGTTGGATCGCAGTAGTAAAAAAATTCTGTTACAAATGCCGATAGTTTTAATTAGGGCTGTACCAATGTATCGGCTAACACCGGTATCGGCCGCAGGTGTTGAACTATCGGCACCATCGGCCATCGGCCTATGGCAACGTGCTGGTGCCGGTGCCCAAAGGATGAGCAAAGCAAAAAAAAATTACGTGAGGGTGTGAACTCGGCCCACCGGCCAAATGTGGCCACCGGTACAGCCTTAGTTTTAATTCGTTACAATTGAAAGAAGTTCTATTCTCTTCAGGTGAGGGTTGAATTACCTTACCTTCTAGGAAGCATGTGCAAAAAAACTAAATTAACGTATTCCCATCGCTACAAAGCGTCGCAATCCCGTGAAATGGAATGACACAACCGATGGAAATTGTGCCTCTTAGGAAGAGAATGTATGCAACCATTATTTTCTTAATCAATCGAAGAAATTTCGCTGAGTTTGGAATTCCAATACAAGAGAAAACGACTTCCCCATTCCTTTTCCATGTAGCGCTGTTCAGCACGAGATACATGTACATACATACCGAAACACGTTTTGCCCAAGAGGCCTCATGAACATTTTCTCGTTTCCATACCGTTGAAAAAAGGGCAATGCGAGTTTAGCCAGTCCCATGAAGGCAGCTCTCCCCTCCGTCAGGAGAAGAATCCGATCGAACATGGCGAAGATCTCGGATGAAGGTTGATGGATGATGGAAACCACGGTCTTCCCCTTCTCGGCCAGGGACTTCATGAGAGCCACGACTTGCCCAGCCATATACGAGTCCAAGCCAGAGGTCGGCTCGTCCCAAAAGAGTAACGGTGGATCCAATAGGATCTGTTTGAAATTAAGTACTGTTCTTCATTGGAAAAACATGAATTTCTACAAAGGCAGGTCTTTGTAAAAATTCACGCGAAAGCGAAACAATAAAATGCATACCTCGGAGGCGATTGAGAGACGCTTCAATTCCCCGCCTGAGATGCCTTTCACCCGACCAGGTATACCAATCATCATGTCCGAACAATTACTCAGTCCCAACTGAAACAACGATTTGAATCAAGGGATTAGGGTTTTTTGCGCTTGAAATTTTGAAGGAAGTGACGAAGGATTTTTTTTTTTTACATCCAGGATAACTTCCTCAACTCGTTCCATTCGTTTCTGTTTCTTGACATCTTTACCCATCCTCAACACGGCCTATAATTGTAGAAAATCACATTTTTAAACATCATAATTAATGCGACTTTTGTTTAGATACCCCCTTTTCACACCTGAAATCGTAGGTGTTCCCTGACAGTGAGGGTACCGATGAAATTGTTTTCTTGTTGGATGTAAGCGGATATGCCTGCCAACGCACTCCTCTTGATGGCTTTTCCATTCACCATGAGTTTACCAGAGACCTTGAGTTTTCCCAAGTTCCTCGACGTCATGACGTTCATCAACGTCGACTTCCCGGCTCCACTTGCTCCCATAATGGCCAACATTTCGCCCGGATATACGATCCCACTCACTATTCAAAGATGTAATTGGACACTTAAGTGAATATTAAGGCCGAAATACGATAGGCAGAGGCTGCGAGAGGAAATGAGACATGAAATACCGTCCTGGAGAATATGCTTGACGTTTTCCTCGCTCTTCCGACAGGGACGGAGAAGTCTGCTGCAGGAAGATTTCTTCTGAACGCACCAAACATCCACATTGTGGAAAGACAAGACGATTTCGGGCGAAGGAGGCAGGACGGCACTCCCTGATCGCTCCCTCATCGGCTCCATCTCCACCTCGACCGACGCATTCTGGCAAGGAAGGAAAACTTTTTTCCGCTTGCTTAGAGGCGGGCATGGTGGGGAGATACTCCCCCACGCTTCGAATTCGTCGGAGCACGACCGAATCAATGTGTCGCCTCGAAACTTGAATGGACGGAGTGTGATGAAAACCTCAAGCTCGAAACGTAGGCGAGGGGCGGATTTAGGGAGTAAAACCTGATGGCTCGGATTTTCTCAGTTATCCGTATGACGTATTGCCCATTGACATTGTCATGTGGTGCATGTCATGGGGCATTTAGAGCGCAATGTCCAACAAACAGAGTCTCTAAACCCCTTATTTCCGCTTTTTCTTTGTGCATTTGCTGTACACATTGATAGCTATGCTTTCTTCATTCCTCTCTAAAATATGTAGCAGGGAGAATGCTTCTCGCAACAGGAAAAAAAGCGAAGCGGTTTATCAGTGTTGCCGCTCTTCTAAATTGCACTCTCACTTTTTTTTTTAGAGGTGAATAATTTTGCGTTTAATTACCATCCCCCAAAGTACCGATGAGACCAGCAGTCCTAGAAACGGTTCATCGTAGCATAAAAGCGTGCTTTTCGCTAATCTCTTCGCATTCACTTCGAACGAGAGAAACCCTCACCTCACAATCGACGACCTTCCCTCGCCTCGTTGACCTCGCACCATCAAACTTGCACAAGTACCGCTTGCTTCCCGAACTCGCCGGCATCGTCACTTTCAGCCGCGGAAGCCCAGGAAGGACTGAATCCCGATTTTCACGTATCTGTTTGCTCCTCGATTATTCCATCCGGAATGGCCGTCGCACGTCGCCGGACGGAAACGAATCATTAAAATGCACAACCGCTCCGGTACCCCGGCATTCTCACAAAAACGATCGCCTTTTTCAACCAGACTCTTTTCAAGGCGATTTAAAGGCGTTAAACCTCCTTGAAACAAAAGAAGCTCCTTTAAGCTTTCCTTCTTATGGCATGCACTGATCCTTCCATTCCATTTCTTGTCGACCTTGAGAATCGCCTTTTCATTGTACCGACCCCAAGGACATACAGGTCGCGTTCTTTCCATGCCTATTCGTTTCGTTCTCGGGGATACTTCGGGATATTTCCGGCATTCAAAATGGCTACTACCATCTATGGTGCGTCCTCGAGAAAAATCATTCCGCGTGAGGAAAGACCAATGGTATATTAAATCTCGGTATTTTCGGATAAAATCGTTTTTCTGTCAAATTGTTTTGAGTTTCTGCCTCGACCTTTTTTTTTCTTGTGGATACATTGCAAGGAATGTTGAGTACCCTCAGAAGATTCCTCTACCGATTAAGTATTGAATACTTGAGGTACCTTTTTTCCGAGCAATAAAGACACAAGTACTTTTTAGAATTTGCTCCATTTGAAGCCGTGCCTATCGAGTTCTGTCAAAGGAATTTGCCTCATTTCTGTCCGGCTCCGAACGATGCCGTAATCCACAGGGGGAAGAAAAAGGGAAATTATCAGATGGCCGCGGTCGGGTGATATTGTTCAAAAAAGCATGGCTGAGAAGGAGGGGTTTATGCAAATCATGGGATTGTTGATGGTCATGATTTGTTTCTCGCGTGGAACTGACGATTAGAAGCGCCACTGTCCCACTGGCAACGCCAGCCCCGTGCGCCGACGGTGTTAGCTGCAATATCACGATTGCCCGTGAGGGTTCAAATTTAGATAAGTTCCCAATAATTTTTTTTCCAGAAAGGACACAAATGTATGGCAAAGATATTGTCTTGTCTGTTTTAATATGTTTTCATTCTTCTGCATAACTTTATTTTGACGGACGTTTTTTACTGCTTAAAAAATATCTTTAGCAGGGATAATTCGTTTTATATGAATCAGCGTAACGATTGGAAGTCGATACAACTAAGAAAAAAATGCATTTCCCGTGACCATTCCAAGCCAGTATTTTTAAGTAATTGTAGGTATACCGTGCAAAACACGTAAGAATTTAAAGGGAATGAATACGAAGATGGCCATATGGTGGCGATCACCTTTTCAGAGCGATCTTTTTTTAAATCACCCTCGGTCACTCGGTCAACAAACATGCGTCCAGCGATAGACCGTCGCCGGCCAATCAGAGTGTGATCCCTTTGCGCATGCGCCAGGTATGAGTTCCACATTCATCATCCCCCTTGAACGCTCCACGTGACCATTGCAGATTGCGTAGCCGTGTGTAGAACCTGGGGTCAGTTGTACTGCCTCAGTTATGATAAACATAAATAGCGACTCATTATTAGTACACCTAATACAGTGGGAATTAAAAATATATATCCAAGTTTGATCGGTATACCTTGACCAGAAGACCACATGACACCATGAGCATATTATTTTCCATATTTCCACTTGAGTCGAGGAGATGGGTTCGAGATACGTGGGTAGCCCGTGAATCATGACGCAGACAGGAGCTGAGTTCTGATTGGCTGGCGACGGTCTGTCGCTAGACGCATGTGTCAACAACAGCGCCCTCGATTGGGATACAACGCCATCTTGCGAAAGTGAAAAAAGCTCTTCTACTCATGAACATCTCCTTAATGAACCTCCTCTCATGAACCTTAAGTCATCCGAACTCTCCCCCCTCCCCCAGGCTTTTACATTCTCCAGAATAGACAGTCACAACAACGGTCGGGAAAAAAAATGCAACCCGAGAGAGGGAGATGCACGCCCAAAGGCAAAGACTCTGTGGGGAAGGCACACGCGATCGCTCTGAGCGCACGCGTTTGTCGTGTGCGCGCGCATGCCCCGGACCATCGACCACCACCATCACGGACCACAGTAGATTTCATTAAATAGATATTACTGATTTACAACCCTAGTCCCCTTATGGTTCGTGTGTGTTTGAGACACGGAACTTAGTGCACGAATAACATTAGGCAATGCTATTTAGTTGGTCTTGAAGCTTTTTATGGGTGATGCATTCTCAGGCCGGTTGATTGCTTCGAGTGGCCATTGATCTCAATGGAACTCAACGGAGCTAGAATTCGAATGAGAAAATCACAAAATATAAATTCAGAAATGGAAAAGGCTTTCAGAGGAAATTGCTTGAGTTTGAGCTAATTCACCCAAACATGAAGTGAATCCATGGCGTTGCGACCTCCCAAGACGGCCTGCCCTCATGAAAATCACACACCACGCATTGATCGGGTGTGCTAGGGTGTCGAAAAGGTGTTGAAACAGTGTTGAAACAGTGTTGGAGTGTGCTGAAGCGACGTTGGCGTCGCTTCAGCCCATGGCAAAGGTATTGGAGGGCGTCACTAAAACGTGCAGGGATGGATAGTGTGAGAGGGGAAAGGGGAAAGGTTTTGGAAGGCTGGGTGTTGGAAGTGCAGTAGGGGCAAGCAGGTTGGGATGAAAAATCATTTTAAGCCCAAATTAGATGGCAATCTTCAATGGGAAAGTGATAATTGAATTTGTGTCCACCTCTGAGTAATATTGCGTAAGCAGTGAGCAATGGGATGAAGATACTAAAAGGAATTATTTTAAATCGAGAATAACAATGATTCTCGCAGTGCTGCATAATATTCACATCATATTAACTCGCTCCCCTGTGTTGATTTAATATCACGCCGATATTAAATCCATGCTAAACCATGTGCTGAGCAGCCCCCAGATAGGATAGGATTCTATGTATCTCTCCGCCCGAGAAGGGGATTATCTCGAGATATGTATTGTCATAACCAACAGTCATCACCGATTCATTGACTAAAGATGATGCCGGGGGAATGTCGAAGCAATCAAATTGACTTGCACACATTATGCCCCTTTGTTAATTTTTAGCGATCAATCTAAAATGACTATTTCAATTTGGGTATTCCAACATGTGGATTTCCGAGACTGTAAACAATAATTCTGACTAACCCAAGTAACACAGCATGTTGATGAAACGTTTCCGAAATGTTGCCTATGTTGCTCTATGTTGCAAGTTGCTGTACAACATTGAGAAAACATTGCTTCAATGCTTTCACTTGGAATGTTGCTGCGGCACTTCTACGAATGACATTGCAACATTAACTATCAACATTGAGAGAATGTTGATAGTTGATGAACACTCTTGACATCGACAACGTAGCGACAACATTCTGATACAACATGGACTTAAAAGTTTTAGAGAATTGAAAAGTTGTCCTCCTTGCCACGAGATGGAGACCAAAGTCTCGCTTTCTCACAGTACACACAAGCGCCCTTCTCCCTCTCCTTGGAATAGTCCCGCACAGGAATGTCTAGTACCTTGCCATATGTCTCACATTGTCTCATTATAGGAATCAATGAACACGGACACTTCATCACCTGTTATCCTCATTTTCCAGACAGATTAATGGGGTCAAGATAAAAAAGCTCATATTCCCAAAAAGAACCCTTTCCAAGAACTCGTCGAGTTCAACCTACAGGACAATAAAAACGATGGTAGAGAGTCTGCGATCTCAATACTTCATATCCTCATTCTGGGTACTAGCTGAGGAAACGAAGGATTGATCTCGTGGACACTCCATAGAACATTGCGGTCGGACCTTTTCCTGTATTGTGCAATTCAGCACATCCAAGGGAAGATCACCTCCAAAAATGTACTGTCTCCTGCCTGTACATGATACAAACACTGTATTATGCATGGGTAGAGGGTAAAACCAGTGCAGGCTTCGTCCTGTTGATGAGAATGTCTGAGTAGAGAGGTAAAGTATATGGTACGAAAGGATTAAATAAATAATTCAATATTGGTCGAATATCGGTCCAGTTCAGGACCAGTGAAGCCTACGCTTTTCCGTAATGCCAATATAGGCCCAGATTAGGTGCCCGTGAAGCAACGTTTTTAATCAACATTGCAGCAACATAAATCCTGAAACGTATCTGCAACGTATATGTAATGAATAAGTAGCGATTTGCAACGTAAATGCAATGTTCCTTCGCAACATTTGAGCAACGTTGACGTTTTGGACATTTACACATAGATGCAACATTGTTCATCAACATTTCCTAAACGTTGCTGGAATATCTTGTGTTACTTGGGATGGAGCTTTCCTCTCATTTTCCGGAAAATTCCATTCCATAGTCGGAATCGAGTTTCCGTTCTCGGAAGTAACTTTCAGTCTCATTCGAGTTACTTAATTGCTTTCATTATTCAAAAACGGATTCTTTCCATTCGGAATACTTCATGATAAATCGAATTTTACCAATACGGGACCTCCCCTTCTTAACCGTGAGTATTTGGTGCATTCCTATCTCAGGGAATGTGTAAGTTCTATTCACTGACGGCATTCAGTACCTCCTTTTAATCACTTGCGGAAAAGATCGCGACCCATTTTCACCTCTCTCTCTTCTCAAAGAGTGTTAGGGGAGAAGGAACGAGTCCTGCGTCTTCGATACTTTGATTGATCCGAGAAGTGCGGGCTGCCGGCAGCCAGGAAATGTAGATGATGTCGGTGAAGCAGGGCGTCCATCGTTTCAGATCCTCTCCCAATGGGAAAAAGAAGCTGTGATGCTCTTCGTTTCCCTTGTATCCGATAGAGAAATACACAAAAAATACCTTTATTCTTGAGAATGAAAACTCGAAGCATCACGGTGTCATATTTAAGGGGAAATCGGAGGCTAGTGGGAGTCATCTATCATTCGAATCGGAAAATAAAGGTGTCTGGTGGATTCCTCAAGGTGCCAATACTGAAAGGTCCGAGTGATCACGAAGGATATTTCGGCGAATATTCAAAACAGGCTTTTCTGACGCGAACGTGGAAAAGGGTCTTTCGCTTGAACGTCGGAATTCTGATTTATTTCCCTTAGATGTAATTTTTGAAAAGAAGACGGGGATAATTCCTCAGAGAAGACGAAGTGAACTTTCCGAAGAAATGCAGGAAATAATTTCCGAGCATGAGGCGAAATTCAGGTTTACAGGTCCTTCGTCGGAAATAAAAAAAATTTTTCCAGTGAACGGTGGGATTTCAGCATCAACAAGTCAACTCTATTTCTCCAACACGTGTTGAATGGATATTGGATTTTCATAAGGGCACAACAGCATCTGCAAAACATATTAGTTCTTTTTGAGACGCGAGGCAAGCCTCTTACCCACTTCGTCTGCCGACGGATCATAGCGACGCCCGACGATGGTGAAATCGCACATGAAGCTTCGCGAATGTGAACAAATGAAGACTCAGACAATGGTCTTTGCATTGCGCCAGATTGCCATTATAGAAAGCGTGAAGCCTGACCGTAAGATAAGTTGGATTCGCGAGAATAGGAAAGAAGTCACTACGGGTTCGAATCGGAAAGTGTGACAAAAAAGGAGATATAATATGTCTCATCGTGGGAAAAATTGGGACTCTTCCAGTTGTCAAAAAATGAAAGGTACAGACCACGCTCTGTAAGAGCCGCAATTGGATAAGCAAGGGCTCCCGAAGGCTGGCAGTCCAAGATCGAGCGACAACAGCCGGAAACTGCTGGAACCAGCCCGCCGCGTCCTCCAACCTCCTCTCCTTCCACTTGATGTCTCCCATGTCGGTCGGGCTCGCCTTGGACGCCTCGTCGCTGCATAACTCCACTTCCTTCCCCATCTTCACTTCCCCTTCTTCCGAGACTCTGAATGCATCGCAGATCCGGGCCACCCGTTTACGACATTCCTTCTGAACTCCCGGGACCACGGCGAGCGTGTGGATGAAGAGGTCCGCCGGGTTGTATTTGAATTGAGGTACGTTCAGATGAGCACTACCAAATCAAATCCATGGGTCATCTCGAAACGTGAATGGACGGTGAGTGATAAAAACCTTAATTTCAAAATGTAGAGGAGGGACGAATTTAGGGGCAAACACTTGAAGGGTCGGATACTGTCTGTTATCCCTATGACATACTGCCCTTGACATAGTCTTGTGGTCCACGTCATGGGGAAATTTGAGCACAATATACAACAAATATAGTCTCACAACCCTTTATTTCCACTTTTTTCCCTTGCGTTTGCTTAACCGTCTGACTCGTAGCACACGGTGTAGATATGCTTTTGTTCTTTCTATCTTAAAAGTGTCGCCGGAAGAATGCCTCTCGTAGCAGAAGAAACTGTCACACGGTTCATCTTTCTTCTTTACATGTTGCCGCTCTTCTAAAATGGACATTCTTTTGGATTTTGGATTGGATTTTTTTTAGAAGTGATTTCATTTGAGTTTAATCATCATGCGCAAATATACCAGTAAGACAAGTTGTGCTAGTAACGGTTCATCATCGCATAAAAATGTGCTTTTCGCCATCTCATCGCGTTTGTTTCGAAGGACGAAACCCTCACCTGACAATCGACGACCTTTTCTCGCCTCGTTGAACTCGCGCCGGCAGACTTGCACAAATACCGCTTGCTTCCCGAACTCGACGTCATCATCGTTTTCAGCCACCAGCCACAGATGCCCAGCAAGGACTAAATCCCGAACGGCACTGAATCCCTGCACGTGTCCTTGACTCCTTGATTATTCCATCCGGAATGGCCATCGCACGTGACCGGATGGACATGAAGCTTTATAATGCACCATTTCTCTGATAAAAAGTCATTCTCACAAAATGCACATTCTCTTCTAAGCAGTCTCTTTTAAAGGCGGTTCTCTAATCTCTTTTTCCCAAGGACTCAAATGCGTCCTCTGGCAAAACTATTCTAGGTGCGTAGAAATGAATGTAATATTAATTATCAGTATTTTAGGATAAACGCATTTTTCTGCCAAACTATTTTGAGTTCCTTCCTCGAACTTTTATTTATTGTGGATAGATGGCAAAGAATGCTCAGTACCCTCAGAAGATTCCAGGTACCAGAAGAGGTACCATTGTTTCCAAACCTTAAAGACACAAGTATCTAGATACTTCTCAGAATACTCCCATTTGAAGCCGTGCCTTTCTTGTTCTGCCAATGGAATGTCTGGAGAATTTGCCTCATTTCTGTCTGACTCGGAACGATGCCGTAATCCACAGGGATAATATGGGCAATAATCAGATGTTCGCGGTCGGGTGATATTGTCCTTAAAAAAAAATCATGGCAGAGAAGGAGGAGGGTCATATCATTCAAATCATGCTATGTTAATAGCTGAATTGAAGGAGAAAATCGCAAAAAAGTCAAGTTTATCAGAAATGACAATTTTTTCAGGGGAAATTTCTGGGCATTTGGAAATAGCACAAGTTTTAACTCATTCGAATGGGTAATGAGAATGGGTCGCGATCTTTTCCGAAAGGAATTATTAGGAAATACCGAATAATCGAGACTGTGAATAGAACTTCTCCATACTTCTAAATATTTGGATGCACCAAATATTCACGGATTAAAAAGGGGAGGTCGCCTAAAGGCAATGAAATCCATTTGTCATGCAGTATTTCGAATAAAAAGGAGTCGTTTTCGAATAATTGAGGATATCCCGAATGAGACGGAAATTTACTTCCGTGAACGGAAACCCGGTTCCGACTGTGGAAAGGAATTTTCCGGGAAATGAGAGGAAAACTCGATTACTCGCTTTAGTCGGAGGCATCGATTCCGAGGTTTTTTCGGAACAGCATGTTTACGTTAAAAAAAATAGGAGACATGGATTCCGCTATGAATCGGAATCCCCTTTTCCGCGCATTAGACGGGAACCCTGTTTCCAATTTCCTAAGTCGGAATTATTTTTTACAGTGCGGACAACTAAATATGAGAATAATCATGCATGCAAATCCTATGCGGTTATCCTGCTAACTATTATTAGCCCTGCTTAACCAAATCAGCGTATGTCACGTTCAAAAATCGAATGAAATTTTGACGGCACATTCTTTCAACCGGCAAATACCACACGGTCATCATCGGCTTGTGCAAAGCTATTATGTTCGTCTGGAGCATTATTTCGGAACTTCGGCTACTTGCAAATATTTTTCTGGTTCAATTTTGAAGGCTTCAGTATCGAATGTAAAGGGATTTTAATTCTCTACTTCACTTATTCACTCCCCGACAATTTGCGAATATTGAGGTCATAGATATTCTATCCTTTATTTAAAATATTAATCTCGCATTAGGGAACCTCACGTGTGTGTATGATGTGTGTACATCCCATCATATCTGAATAATAATATAAAAAACTGCTTCTCGGAAATACAAACAAAACGTACACACTGCTGCCTATCTCAGTGGATGCGGCAAAAATGCATATGAGTAAAAACGAGTTTAAATGAGATGCAATCCAGTCAACAGACGTTGTCACCGAGAGAGCATGAGGATGAACAGAGAACAATAGAACAATCCTGGCCGAGGTGAAACGGCACCTAACGCAAGAAAAGCGGGAAACTCTCGGTCACGAGATACCGTTCCCCGGATTTCGGGTTTTTGGATTTCATGTCCGGCGAGACGCTCGGAAGATGAGGGCCAGATAGGCGACGAAGTTATACGATACCATCAAGACCAGCAGCATCAAAATGTCTCGGAGGTGATTGTCCTAAGAAAGGAGGACAAAGGAGAACAACACTCATTAACGCACCTCCACGTTTGCAGGCTCAAGAGAGAGAAGGAGAGTTGATCGCACCATGTCGAAGAACAAGACGGAGAGGACGGCATCGCCATGGGGAAGGCACCTGAAGGAATCCCCGCAGTCGATCTCGAGGTCTTTCCACTGATTGATCATGAGGGCCTCGTTCCCGTAATAGAACCACGAGATGTACTTCAGCCATACTAAGTACACGGGAACAGAGCTACGAAAGGAAAAAAGTGGGGGGGGGGGCTAGTCATGAGGTTTCAGATCTCATTTCATGGCTGGGGAATGATGGAACGAGAATGCATAGAGCCACGTTTTCCTTTAATTTGCAGCCTAATTGATGCGGAAACATTAATTATCCTATTCCAATAATAGCCACTGTTAGGATCAGGACTTTAACACTTTCAGAGGCCAGTTTTATCTGGGGATGTGGGCACATCTTCCTGTGTTTTCTCTACCTAATAAATCACACAGAAACGCAAGAAACAGATTCCATATTTTAATTGGTCACGGATTGTATGCAAATTGGGTGGGAAGTATAATTCCCAACCGGGATCGGTGGGAAGCTGGCTTCCTAATGCGCTAATAATAATTTCGGGTGGGAACTATGATTCCCACACCCCACGAAAGGGTCAATACCGAAAGGGTCAATACCGAAAGGGTCAATACTGCTTAGTTTCGTGCTGATGGGTTTGCTGGATGGAGGCCACACTGGAATACAGCTATAGCCAGAGTGCAATATTATTTTAACCGAACTGCAGGAATTTACGATTAGGCCAAATGTTAGATGCCCCTCAAGAGCTATGAATAAAGTTGCATTACTACAGATGCAAGTTCCAAAATGGGTTGATGGAGAGATTTGTGTCACATATTTAAGGTGAATAATGACATTATAGCTAATGTGATGTGTTTGTAATGTGCAATATATCTCATTACTGCAGAAATTTTCTTCTTTCAGGAGAAATTACACGTATAAATGAATAAAAAACGTAAAAAAATTATTAAGATCCCAAGGAAGTGACCATAATAGTAAAGCCTTGTGTCTGGCCACGCATTGCTATAATTTGAGCACCGATAAAATTGACGGTAATTCAACATCTGAGATGCAACCCTGCTGGTCGAACGACCAGCCAGTCGCCATTGCTCTTATATCAAATCTTGTATCGATAAGCAATAGGCTTTGCCGAATATCGCGATACCTATCGATATTGTATCTATCGATATAAAAAAAAATCTGCATGATTCATTCATAGTCCATGGAATCATAAGAATTTTTAGTCAATTTCACACTCGCGTCTTTCCCCAACAGAAAAATGTATCGTTTCCATGAGTTCGTCTCTGAATCGTTCCAGTATTTACTGGAAAATCCTCCGGGAAGGCGAGCATCTCAAACCTTCAACCTCTCTCTCCCAACCCAACCCCCCTTGAACTATTCCTTCGACCGCGGCGCCCACGAGATGCGCTCTGGAGGTGTCCTCCTCCAGCTTTCGCGGTCGAAGGGTCAACTCCCCCTTTCTTTTCTCCCGGCAGATGCAATATCTCAGGTGACGCCTGAGGGCATTTTTTTTTCCTTATCGGGAGAGGGCAGATAAGAAAGTAAGGGCAAATGTTTAGGACGCGCAATTGTGTGTCACAGGTAGTAGCTCCAGATATGTACGTATTCTCATCAAATTTACCATTACCTTCGTGTAGGAGACAAAGACGTGTTCTTTACAGCAGCGAATTATAAATTAATGATTAATGAGCGTTTAATTTTTTCCAGGTTTTCTTTTTTTTGCATCAGTGTGCGGAGGGCTTTTTTTTATCCGTTTCTATTCCATCATTTGCAATTTGAGCATGATTGCATTCAACTGGACGTACTTGGAGCTCATGAAAAAGCCGCTGAACAACAGCAATGGGAGGAAGATGAGCGAAACCGTGGTCACGGCCGTGCTGACGTTGCGAGTCAGGCACGAGATCATGTAACCTGCAAGGAAAAAATGAATCCATCGCGTTAGTCCTTCACACTCCCCGAAAGTGATGGGAAAAAAATACTACTCAGAATGTGCATTACTGCAGGAGGTGGCGACATTCGAGATCATGATCATGATGAGAGTGCACACGACGAAGCGGTCGAGGGATCCGTTGAGACCGATCATGAAATAGGCGATGGCGGTGAAGATGGCGAGGAAGAGAATGGAGAATGGGAGCTCGGCCGCGACCTTGCTGATGAAATACGCGTCCACTCTGTACATCCCGCTCTGGTGTTCCTTCAAGAAGACTGGGAATTCTTCGCAAAACGTCTGTATATTCGGAGTTGGACATCCCGGACGGTCAGGTATGGAAAAAAAAAATGAACGAAGAAAGGAAGCATAAATAAAACGATTGCAACAGGGAAGCATTGAACCCAATGAATAAGTGCTGAAAATGCATATAAAAATGCTTTTGCTTCCCATCGACTGGCATGCAGAACTCACATTCAACACCGAGTAGCCATTGACGTTACTCGCAACGAGAAGGAAGAGTAAGATAACTCCATTCACATTCATGACTCCTTCGTACGTGCTGTAATCCTGCCTCAAGTATATGGCCCCCAATAGTAGAGCCACCGCCTGGAAACACGAAATCGTACGAGCTCTTCACGAACGCAATGTGCTTTAGAGAAAGAGCGGGGTCAGAGGAAAAATAAAGAGGAAATCCGGCGGATTTACCTCCTGAGACCAGGTGAAGTAAAGTGCGGTTGAAAATTAGCTATTATTTTCCGTTCTACACAAGATACTGTCATTTTCTCCCATGGTTTTAGGGTGCTTTCCTCCAGCAAGCATTCAGTCTTCATACACTGCTTACATATTGCATATCCAGCTTCATAAACTGCCGGCGAATGAAATTGGAACACCCAGAAGGGGTTACCGATATTGTTGAAAATTGGTACATGAGCTCGTACCAGCATACTATGAAATAGATTAGAATTTAAAGTGCGTGGGATGAATTTGATGTCATCTTGGCCCTACCAAGTTGAGATCAAATCCCCTTGGCACTGCCTTGCAGTATTCACTCAACAACAGCCCTATGGTGAAGTGGCTTGAGGTGAGGAGGAAAGGAAACTGGCACCTTCGATGACACTGTTCTCGTATCCAATCCCTTTCTTGCACAGTTCTTGCCGAAAGACATTCTAATGCATACAGAACGGCTGCGAAGGACAGCGAGGACTGAAGCTGTACAGTCAATGTGCGAGGCGTTACTCCTTCGTGCATAATGGATATTGAGTAGAGCCATCAAGGAGAGGAGGAGTAAAAGAACTGCCAACCTTGACCGAACCGGGATGCCTCAACGTTAATTTTTAAACTCCCATCCTCCTGGAAGGGTTAGATGTTGGGGTCTACGACACTCTGTTGGGGAAGCAGCAAGTTGAATAGGGTGGAGGTGGGGGAGGGGGGAGGGGGAAGGGGGAAGAGACTTGAGAAATGCACGATTCAGAGTATTAGGCTAAAAGTGTCTCTGGGTGAGACCAGTGCAGTAGCGCATCACTCGCCTGTTTTCGCTAAAATGGGACGTTAGTTTCTCACCTAATTCGACAAAAAATACCTATATCTCGGAAAAAACTCATTGATGATGAACACATTCTTCATATACAGGTATTTGATCTTCATATTCTAGTTAAACACTAGCAAAGGATATCTTGGGCTCATGTTGGATTCGTGCAGCGAGAATTGATAATGCATGCGCTGAACAAAATACTATTAGGGTCCCATCCCACTTTCATTCCCACTCCCTCCGCTGAACACCATCAGCTGATGCAAGTTGATGTAACATACATTTCAGACGAGGAGTGATAACTTCATACGTACGTACCCTCACACATTGATTTTCTAAGTAATCAGGTAGAAATTACTTAATTATAAAACAATTAAACTGGGAAGGTGCACAAGTACATAAAATGGAATTGTAAGTGATCTCTGTATCTTTTCGAAAGCTGACTCACTAAAAGAAAAAGACCTAGAAGTTGAAGGGTGATATTGCAAAAATGTACCCCAAGACAAAAAAGGTACTTGGAAGTTACGAACCACCATCTGGAAGAGACGAAGTTTAACGACCAACGGTTCCCGAAGGTTGGCAGTCCAGCTTCGAGCGAAAATGGTGCGAAACTGAGCGAACCAAGACAGCTCGTACTCGAACGCGATCTCCTTCCCCCTCTCGTCTGAGAGGTCATTCGCGTTCATGACCGCCTCGCCAGACAAGCCGATTTCGCCCTCCAGCGCCTTCCGTTCCTCCGAGTCCCCGAATGCGTCGCAGATGAAGGAGACCCGTTCTCTGCGTTCCTCTTCCGCGCCGGGGACGATGGCCAGGGTGTGGATGTAGAAGTCGGCAGGGTTGTAGTTCGACGGGCATTCGTATCCCATCCTAGACATTTAAAAATTATTCTTTGAAGACCTTTAAACAGCAGTTTAAGAGACTGGTGCTATTATTTCATATGATAATGAAGGCCGGACATGGAAAATATTGAATCCTCCCCAACTTACGAGCATCGCATGGCTTGACGCAAGAATCGTATAACAAATCTTTAGACAAAGATGCGCGGGATGTGTGCGGGATGTTTGCGGGATGTTCCATTGATGTGGGATCCCTCCCACGATACGTGTATAGACATGGTCCCTCCAATCGCTCCAACCCTGACCAGGATCCCCTCCGAATCCGTGTGCGTTTCTCAACCTTCTCTACCCTACCCTATCAGGTGTAGTTCCGAACTATAGCAGAAATATTAAATTTTATATTCCCACGTTATTATATTTCCCGAGGAAAATTTTCGCGGGCTCCATGGAGCCTCACAGAGGATCCCAGGGGTTTCCCGGATCCCCTTTTGAGAAACGTGGTGTCAAGACACGTGGGATTCTGAGGATTAGGACGAGATTGGGGGGATTAATTGATTATAATTTATCGCTTTTAAGCGATACAAAAGAAAGCATACTTTCCTAGTTTCACTCTAGTTCCATATTCTCCCGAACAATTTCTTCTGAATGGGCAAAAGGATCGTTCAAGAAATCAAATTTTCTTCTCCCCAAATTTTTTCCCTTGATAAGCGAGACAGTCTCGTTGCCAATTGCCGAAAGAACGAAGAAAAGGAAAAGCATTTTTCTCGAGGTAATTTCTCTTCGCGTTCAAAGAGAAAAAAAAAATTACAACCGATCAGCTGATTTTACGGCTGACAATGACAATTTAATTAACCTCGCAATTAATTAACCTCACCGCTGAAGAAAGAACTTCCGGGCTGTGACTTAAGCAACCGCCACCGCAAGGCACAAGAGCCACATCACACGGTTCGTTCAGCATCACAAAATTTCTTCCCCAATCCTCGAGAGAGGGCATCGTCCTTCACGAATAGGAAATAAGTTTCTTCCGATTAAAAAAAAAACTCTGATCTTAGAACAAAGCATGGTAGGCGCAAGTTGTTGTACCTTTCCAAGAGTAATTTGCATTCGTAATGAGGACTCGCAGATGAGAGGAAATTATTTAAAAGCATCTTTGCCTTTCAAATCCTTCTCTGAAGTACTATATTTCCCCTTACTCTATTATTCGGTTGTATTATTCCGTACAGTAAATGCTATTTTACCGATTGCATGAATGTGGACTCTCATGAATTCTTGCATGCTATCCATTCGAACCGAAACTCCTATTCCCGAGTGGCGCAATGAATTCTTTTCTAATCATCCACACCGTTGAAAGAAGGAAACTGCGTCGTTGGACATCCCCGTGAAGGCAGTTCTCCCCTCGGCAAGGAGAAGAATCCGATCGAACATGGCGAAGATCTCGGATGAAGGCTGATGGACGATAGAAACCACGGTCTTCCCCTTCTCGGCCAGGGACTTCATGAGGGCCACGACTTGTTGGGCCAGAAACGAGTCCAGGCCGGAGGTCGGCTCGTCAAAGAAAAGCAATGGTGGATCCATCAGGATCTGTTTCGGATGAACCAATTCACAATGGGAGTTATTAAGACTCACAAGAAATCTCAGAGGAAAAAAGAAATGAAATGCGGACCTCGGAGGCAATGGAGAGACGTTTCAATTCTCCGCCTGAGATGCCTTTGATCCGACCAGGAATGCCAATCGTCGTGTCTGAACAGTTGCTCAATCCCATCTAGAACAATTGATTAGAACAAGATGCTAATTTTTTTGCATCCAATCTCGGAAGATGTTAAAAACAGATTTGTTTCACCTCAATGATGATATCTTCAACTCGTTTCAGTCGTTGCTCACGACTGATTTCTTTGCCCATTCTCAACCGAGCCTATAGGAGAGAATAGCAATCAAGTTAAAATTCCACGGTGATGTGACTTTCGCATAGATTTCCACTTTTCGTGCCTGGAATCGCAGGTGTTCCCTGACGGTGAGGGAACCGATGAAGAAGTTTTCTTGTTGGATGTAGGCGGAAATGCCTGCCAACGCACTTCTCTTGATAGACTTCCCGTTCACCATGAGTTTCCCGGAGACTTTCAGGTCTCCTAAGTTCCTCGACGTCATCACGTTCATCAGCGTCGTCTTCCCGGCTCCACTCGCTCCCATGATGACTAGCATTTCCCCCGGCTGCACGATTCCACTCACTATTCGGGCGTGAGGATCGAGGCTTCGGTCAAGGCAGAAAAGAGAGCAATGAACAAGGTCTTTAATGAGAAATGAGGAATGGAATACCGTCTTGGAGGATGCGTTTGGCGCTTTCAGCATCGGCCTTCCGGAAGACATCGGCGAGTCTGTTCCAAGAGGATTTTTTTGGACGGCTCCAAACAGTTACATTGTGAAACGATAGAACGATTCCGGAGGAAGGGGGCAAGACACTCGGACACTCTTTTAGCCGTTCCATCCTCAACTGGCCTTTTCCGACTAGATGAATGAAAATGTTTGGTGGCAATGAGTTCAATTCGTGATTAAAGAGACTTTCTGGGGAAAAAAAACCCGACCAGAAATCTAACTGGTACAAGGCAAGGCTAATAAGACCTAAAGCAGAGAGGACATAGGCCAATATCAGAACGGAGTGCCGGTTCGTTCGTTTACGGAATTGTTTCCTCTTGAATGACGAATGGAGGATTGTGGACATCCTCAGATAAGACTTCCCCAGATCCAGAAAAAACGCAGATATGACTTGTGGTACGATCGCCAGATGTGTTCATTAGTTCTATAATGCTCATGCTATAAGGTACGCTAAGTCCCGACAACATCCCATAGCATTTCTTCCCGACATTCAGCGAATACAGCACAAGAAAATCCACCATGCCCAAAAAGTCATGCAAAGGAATCCCAGTGAAGCCTCCCCGGGTGACCCCAGTGGAGGCGACAGCGGGGACATCCTCGGGATCGTCGACGAAGCCTCCACACGTGCAATGCTCCTGCAAGGGATGTCCACCGGACACCCTGTGGACGCGCTTCGAAAATCTTCGAAGACGGGAAAGTGCGATCTGGTCAAGGGATGATCTGGTCAAGGGATGATCTGGTCAAGGGATGATCTGGTCAAGGGATGATCTGGTCAAGGGATGATCTGGTCAAGGGATGATCTGGTCAAGGGAGCCCTGCGATGGACAGACATTTGCTTCCCGCCCACAATCCAATGGATGGATACAACGAGGCAAGAACAGAAAATAAATTAAGTTTACGTTGATGATATGGCAGATCTTTGCACTGAACAGAGCCAAGTTGCTCAGAGCTCACGTTGCCAGACTTTTTTGCCCAATTTTTTCTCAATTATCGTCATCGGCAATGCATATCAAACCTTCATACTCTTAACGGGAGTGAGGATTCAGGCATATTTTTTTCAGGTGAGTGGGAAAATGAACTTGAGATTCTTTTGCTTCAGTTCAACTATTATTATCCAATATAATATCCTTGAGTCGATACCATAGCGGTCCATAATGTGATAACCTGGAAGGCGCCATAGTTCAGCATATTGGAAGCAATGTCAAAGTCAAAGGTGTATGAATGCCTCAAATAATAATTTAAAAAACCTATAAAATTTTCAGGAAACTTTTCAAAAGGTTTTTTCTTTTTTGCAGGCACTGTCCATGGACATTTTTTAAAAATCACAGTTGGTTTCATACGCAAAATGGAAAATGTGTATTTTTTTTTTCTTCGAAATAATGCACACCACTTGAAATACAATTCAACAGAATATGCTCTAGCTCCCACCCTGATCTGCTCGATAGAAAAGCAAAAGAAAAGATGAGACTGGCTTCATGGACTGAGAGAGAAAAAAAGAACGAGAATTGCAAATTCGCAAGTCTGAGAGATTTTGGCAAAGGCATAACAGACAAGAAACGCGCCTTTCTCCATTGTGGGTTTCCGGAGATTCCTCTGCAATTTTTAAATACCAGGAACATTTCGGAATAATTTGAATCTCACGTCCGCCGAGATGCTCGGACGCGGAGGGCAAAAAAGGCGATGACCCGATACCCCACCATCAGGACCAGCAGCATCAGCGAGTCCCGCAGCACATTGTCCTGTTTAAAGGGGGAAGGGGAAGGGGGAGGTTAGCGGTAGGTTAGCGGGAGGTTAGAGGGAGGTTAGAGGGAGGCTCCACGAGGTTCGTAGAGACCGGACGCACCTTCTCGAAGTTGAGCATGGCGATAATGGAATCGCCATCCGGCTGACACAGGAAGGACTCCCCGCACTCGATCCCTTCCACGCCTTTCCACTGATTGACCATGAGGATCTCGTTCCCGTAGTAGTACCAAGAGATGTACTTCAGCCATAGGAAGTACACGGGGACTGAGCTGTCGAGGGAAAATTAAGTTCTGGAAGCCCGATCATCTATGCAAATGGCTTTCATGAAATATCTTGGGACTTCTTACGAACTTAAAATTAGATGGAGTAATTGGTAATTTAAAGTAGTTGGAGTAATTGATAATCCATATTAGATGGAGCAATTGCCAATTAAGATTAGACGGTGTGCGGAAACTCGGCTTCAACACCTCTCTCGAGACCGTAATTCCTTTCCCCGCTCATACAACTAGGTCCAATTACCATTTCCTCCTCCTCGTGTCGAAGGCACTCGATGCAAAATCGGCAGGAGAAGAGCACGGTGCAGTTTAGCGCGTCGGTTTCCGCGATTTCGAATGGTATCCACCCTCATATCAAATTTTGGAGGGAATGCTTTTTTTTCGCTCAAGTGCCATTCAAGATCAGAGTGAAAGATTGCTGCAATAAAAAATAATAATAATATAAATCTATATATATATATATATATAAAACACACAAAATAAATCGCCTCCTGGACGAGACCATTTTCGAGGCGATATCGGCGGTGTCAGGTATCGGTTAGCGCTTTTCTTCAACGTTCTCCTGGCTTTCTGCGAAGGTGTCTTCCCGGAAATTCCTCCAAATCTCTTGAAAAATCTATTAATTACCATTTTTCTGCTCATACAAATTTTCTTGGAAATTTTAGGGAAAATTCTCGAAAGTTTCCGATAATGGAAAAACTTTCTTTTATCCTGTGTCTCGTTCGAACGGGAAAACGAAGCAGATTTAAAATATAAAAAAAAAACACTCGAGAGAATTTTTCCTCTCGTTTCTGCTGCAGTTCTGAGCGAAGGAAATAAAAAATAATAAAAAAAATACAACAAAAAAAAAAAACAAAGCGAGAAACGCACACGTTGTTGATAAGCAGGCCGCCGAACATCAGAAGCGGGATGACGAGGGGAGGCGACAAGGCCAACGCGACGTCCACGTTCGGGGCGATGCACGACACCATGTAACCTGCAAAAAAAAAAAAATGTTTCATTCTATGTTGAAAATCCCCCAGTACTTCTAGCACTTCTCAGTACCGAAGGAGCAGGCCACATTCGCGACGGCGACCATGACGACCACGCAGACGATGAACCGCTCGCCGACCGGGTTGAGCCCGATCATATGATACGCGATCGCCGCGAACGCCGCGGGGAAGACGACGAAGAACGGCAGCTCCGCCAGCGTCTTCCCGAGGAAATAGGCGTCCGTTCGGTATAATCCGCTCTGTCGTTCCCGTACGAAGATGGGCAGCTCTTCGCAGAACACCTGAGTGCATTGGGGATGAGAAATAACGCCAAATGAACTTTCTAAAAAAAAAAATTAGTCAAGTTAGTATTGATATAATTATAGATGTACGAGGAACTAGCGAGTTTGAGGACAAACAAACTCGCTAAGGTACAAAAAGAAAGGGGGAAAAAAGAGGGATATCCGAGAAAGGGAAGGAAACTGGAGTTAGCGGTTTTACTCCCTAAAAATGAGGAAGTACAATCGATAACTACTCCTTTTATAAGAACAAAATCCACACCTTTTTTAAGAGCGCGAAACGATTGAGGGAGAGTGCTTTTCAAACTACAGGGTGCCCAATAGAAAACATAAGGATTGAGGATAAATTTAAAAAATGAGCTGAGGAGCCATGGGTATTAATGAATCCAATCTGAAATATAAATATACATTTTATTATTTACATTCGTTTATGAAACAGCAAATCGCAATCAAGCAGCAATCAAGCAGCGACAAGTATAGATATATACTTGTCGATAGAAAACATGACTTCGTTGTTAAGGGCGTGCTAATTGCAATCCTGCTAATTGCTAATTGCAATGATATTGAAATTGCAATATCATTGTTGTTCTCAGGAAAGAGAGAGGTGAGCGGCTGCACATTTTTTTTTTTAGGGAGTAAAAACCGCTAACTCCAGTTTCGCTCCCTTTCTTGGAAATCGCTCACTCTTTTCTAAGAGTGTACTCCGGGGTTCCGAATTTAGAAACGCTACCTACCCTATGACCATTCCCGGACCAAATGAGGAAGTCATGCAAAGTTTGGTCAGATTGGGATCAAAGGCGTGGCCGTGCATGAAGGACGGACAGACAGACACACACACACACATACACACACACACATACACACACACACACACACATACACACACACACAAGCACTCTGAAATATAAGTAGTACAGATATTATTTTAGAAATTAATTTATTGCTCCCACTGACGACACCCAAACTCACATAGATGACAGCCATGCAATTCTGGAAGGAGACAAGGACGATGAAGTGGAAGAGGACGGCGTTGATGTTGAAGACCCCCTCGCCCGTGAGACCCTGTCCCTGGTATATCACCCCCAGCAGCAGGGCCATCACCTGGGATGGGGGAAAACGGTTCGGTTGAATGAACCTGATGCAACCGTTGTCTCTTTGTGTGCAAACCGACGAGACGAAGACTTGCCGGTGGTCTTTGCCATGCGTCAGATTTCCATTATAGAAGATGTGAAGCCTGCTCATAATGTGAGTAGGGTCCACGAGAAAGAGGAAGCCGCTACGAATCCCAATTGGAATGGTTAACGTAAGAGAAAATGGAATATTTCTCATTGCGGAAGAGATAGGAGTCTTCCAGTTGTAAAAGCGAAACAGTGGATTGGGAGGAAAGCCAAATTCCTACTTGAAAGGTTTAAAAAAATGTTTAAAAAAAATTATAGTCTCGGGATTTTCAAGGATCCAGATCGGCTCGAGAAGTATTTGAAAGGTACTGACCACGGTCTGTAAGAGCCGGAATTTGATGAGCAAGGGCTCCCGAAAGGTGGCAGTCCAAGATCGAGCGACAACGGCCCGAAACTGCTGGAACCAGCCCGCTGCGTCCTCCAACCTCCTCTCCTTCCACTTGATGTCTCCCATGTCGGTCGGGCTCGCCTTGGACGCCTCGTCGCTGCATAACTCCACTTCCTTCTCCATCGCCCTCCCTTCTTCTGAGTCTCTGAATGCGTCGCAGATCCGAGCCACCCGTTTGCGACATTCCATCTCCGATCCCGGAACCACGGCGAGCGTGTGGATGAAGAAGTCCGCCGGGTTGTAGTTTGGCGGACACCCGTAACCCACTCTACATATGAAAGATGTAAGATATGCCGACATAATGGTGCACTTGCAAAGGCATAACTACTCCACGAGTGACATCACGAACGTACAGGTGTTTGGGAATCCTGAAATTCAACATTTACACACCGTATGCTTAAATGATTTGGCTCAAGAATCACATTAAACTGGAATCGTGAAGCAAAATGAGTTTTAATTTTTATTTCGGATTTTAATTCTGGATTCACATCCGAAACTTGTCTTGTGCGTGCCAACCAAAGGTTTTGATGATGCCTTGAAACTCTTTTTTTCAGAAAAAAAAGTATGCTTAATGTATTCTAAGGTGTTGCTTTAGTCGAACACTCCGTCTACTTCTGCAGTCGCCAGAGAATGCCTTCAACATTGCCCAAACGGTACGTCATGAACATGTTTTGTTCTCAATTGTTTCAGCCTCAATGGCCTTAGCCGCTAAGCAGCTTCTGAGAAAAACCTAAAGCAACTTCAGCAGCACGGAATTCACTTGGAATTCCCCTTAACTCCGTTTCAACGAAACTTCAAGTTTAAAGTTGAGAGACGAAGAGGTTGACCAGTTTTTCCAAGATCGACTTCGGAATATTTTGCAACAGTTCCAACTTTCGAGTTTGACACCAACTTAAACGTACTCCTCTCCGACATTTCTGGAATCGAAGCTGTCATTGAGGCCGGCAGTGGGGTCCCGCGTTACACGCAGTAAAAATGTGAAATATTACTGAAACGCTTAATTCGTAAATAAAAACCTGTTTTGCTTCGTCATCTCACAGTTCTCCCAGCTGTTCGGCCGAATGTGATTTCTTGCATGGATTCCGCCGAATCTTATAAGCATTCGATCCCATCTACAATTCTTCATCCAAACCGGGAATGCATTTTCACGGATCCATACCCTTGAAAGAAGGAAATGGCACGATCGGCTAGTCCCATGAACGCAGCTCTCCCTTCGGCCATGAAAAGAATCCGGTCGAACATGCTATAGACTTCGGATGAGGGCTGATGAATGGTCGAGATGACGGTCTTCCCCTTCTCGGCCAGGGACTTCATCAAGGCCACAACTTGCTGGGCCATGAATGAGTCCAGGCCTGAGGTCGGCTCGTCGCAGAAGAGCAACGGTGGGTCCGTCAGTACCTTCGAGAAATATTTTTGCACATGATAAATATTCAAATATATACAAGGAATGAGTGTGAAAACAAATAAAGACCTCAGAGGCGATGGAGAGACGTTTCCTCTCTCCACCTGAGATACCTTGAATCCGACCGGGAACGCCGATGATCGAATCTGAACATTTACTCAGCCCCAACTGTAGTGAAAATAAAAGAAATATTTAGTTATCTGCTCCCAACGTGCGAATAAGCGAAATACTTCGAAATACGAAAAGCTTCACATCCGAGATGACTTCTTCCACTCGATCCATTCGCTGCTGATGCTTGATCTCCTTGCCCATTCTCAGCAGGGCCTAAATTGGAGAACGCAAATCATAAGGATGCCAAAGAAAACTCGAAGGACGTCTTTCGGAGACTTCCGCTTTTCGTGCCTGGAATCGGAGGTGTTCCCTGACTGTGAGGGTGCCGATGAAGAGATCTTCCTGTTGGACGTAGGCGGACATGCCCGCCAGCGCGCTCCTCTTGATGGTCTTCCCATTCACCATGAGTTTTCCCGAGACGTTCAGCTTCCCCAAGTTCCTGGACGTCATCACGTTCAGCAATGTCGTTTTCCCGGCACCACTCGCTCCCATGATGGCCAACAATTCACCCGGACAAGCGATCCCATTCACTAATTATGTATGAGATTCGTCGCTAGAGTAACATATCGAAGTCTAGACTTAAAGAATAACAAATTGAATAGAGAAAATAATAAAAATATACCATCTTTGAGAATATGCCTCGCCTGTTCATCGTTGGTCTTCCTACAGAGACTGGGAAGTTCGGTTCTGGATGATTTTTTAGGCAGGCTCCAAACATCCACGTTTTGGAAAGAAAAGATTATTTCAGGAGAATGTGGAGAGATAGCTCTGTTCATACGCCCTTGGCCAGTCTCCATCTCCACTTCGACTGCTCCTTTCTAATAGTGAGTAAGCTTTTATTTCACCTATCCCATTCTTGCACAGCCGCTTTCGACCCTGAATCCAGCGCAGAAACGCTCCACAAAATGAACTTAATTGACTAACCTCGGGTTGGAAGGCGACGTTGTCGTGTCCGCCGAGCATCGCGGGAAAAGAACGCCCTGGGAATGAATCACTCCCGTTGACTTCAAGCACCATTGAAGACATGGAGAGGCAAGTATGCAAAGAATGACGGAGTTTGTTGTTGGTGGTCTCAACACTTGCGAATTGCACGAAAGAACCTGAAATAAGTTCATGCCCCGAGGTGGGAATTTATGGAGATTTTTCATCTCCCCTTCGGGGAATCATAAATTCTGACAGATTCAGTGCAAGAATTGAAACCGTTTGTTAATTTACCGCTTTGCCTGATTCAAAAACGAACGAATCCGACCGGCTCCCCTCCCAATGGAAGACCTCAGGAATTCTCTTTGACCATGTTTGTGCCCTTAGGAGGCACGTTTGATGGCACCCTTCAAACCCATGTTGCTTATGCATAACAGATTCGCTTACTTTTTCTTAATCGAGTGCTTTAAGGCTCCAACCAATGTCATGAAGGGAAAATTAAAGAGGTGAGATATTTGCAAACTTATGGCCAATTAATTAAGCTAATTAAGATCTTTGATGGCATTTACCTTGCTCAAGAAAGGATAAACTTTTTTAGTTTCTTATGATGTAACCTTTTTTTTTAACCCTAACCAATCTCGACCGAACTAAGCGAAAAAAAATGGGAAAAGACCCGAGATTCAGCATGACAACTTAAAAGCGTCTTCTTTTTTTCCTTTTTTTTTCCTTTCTTTTCTCTCGTTTTTTTTCGGCGATGGAAAGTGTGTGCCTCAAGGCGTCTTTAAAAGGGGAAAGATCTCTAACGCACGCCCTAAATCATCCTGATGATGTCATTTTATCTAAAGACAGTAAAATTATCATACCTTCATTTCCCAACGTTGAAACATACTTCGCCAACTATAATCCTTCATGGTTGTTCCCAGCACTCCATAAATTTGGGTGTCCCACGCAATAGCTCAACCTGCCAGACTTTGCGGCGCTAATTGCTGCATCTTGATCTTCTTGCAGATACTTATTGTTTGTCCGATCCCCCTTGCCGACTGTTATCGGCTGTTTCTTTCGTCCTTTGGCTCTTGTTGAATTTTTGGTTTTATCGTTGGGGTTTTCCATTTCTTTGCTAATAACACTATCCCAACTTATTATAGGAAACTATAAATATTGAGTTCTGATGTGACAGAAGACTGAGCGATAAGAGTGCGAAATTTAAATCCTCCCCTTCGGAGAAGACGGGAAATGTTCCGACAAGAAGTTACGGAATTCGCGGAAAGCACACATTCCGATCGGACGATTTTCGCGGCGTCTGCACCGCTGATATTGGAAGAGATTCGAAGATGAATCACCTCTTGCCGAGTCGCAAAACTCTCGGTGGACTGACTGGACAAGCAATTGATAGCGACATATATCATAAAATATAATTATAGAATATATAATTATAAAATATATGTCCAACACATACCCAACAATTGGATTCTCACTATCGGGCACTGTGTTCAACGAGGCGTACTTTCCCTTGACGCCACTGATTATTTTCCCAGGGGAGATGAGGGGACGGTCATCGCATTCACGTCAGAGTATATATAGCACTTTCCATTAAACTAGACAGGGTACTGATTCAGGTTTTCCCAAGGAAGTAATGCAGGGGAGAGTGAATGTTACGGAATTGCCTTCCAGTTTCACGGGTGTTGCGGAATCCCCAGATTCGCCCCACCCACAAACAGGCACACCAGAACACAATGGAGGTCGCACGCGAACGCCAGGCAGCGGCTGAGCCAGGATCCGCCGGCTCGGAATGGAACTAGATGCGGATGGATGGATGCTCCGCTGGAAAGGGAAAGTAGATGGAACGCAGTCGCTTGGCGAGGAGGGCCGTCGGGGTTTTTACATCCATTCAACCGGTTGTGGTCGCGTTCCAGATTTATCGTATCCTCCGCGTGGATTCCTTGTTGACCCAGATAATCAAAGTATCGGTTGCATCACTCATATCTCCGTTTGTTTTCCAGACTCTTCTGCTGACGTGAGGTAGAATTAAAGGGGCTTAAAAATATATATAAGCTAGAAAGCATTCGATTCAAATTCTGTTTGGGGAAAGAAACATTACCTGCAAAACATAACACCGCGAATTCTTATGTAGTCACGTCGAGAATATAGTCGCGGTAAAGAGGGACGCAGATCGACGAGGTCTCCCCCCGAGTCCTTCTCAAGGTGTGGGTCGCGATCGGATTTTGAGGGCGGTTAGTTCGAGCTGTCGAGACCTGGTGCAGTGCATCGTCTTCGGGCTGATCAGAATCCATCTCTCCACGCTCCACTATGCTGTTATGTTTTCTTTATTCCAAGCCATTGGTGCATGCGCAAGATTTGGGTTGACTCGTGGATTTCGGACCTTAGGCCTAAGCAGAATGCGTGCCAGGACGGTAACGAAGAGTTGTCCGACTTCGACAACTCTAAGGGTGGATTTTTGACAATCCAATAATGTAGCTTTATTTACTGAATTTAGGATTCCAACATAACTCCAACAGGATATCTGGCAACCCGGGACAATACTAGAGCCAGCATGCTAAGTCTAAATCAAAACTAGCTAATTTCCTTTTTTATTAAAACGAACTGATGCATCGTAAGCAACGAAAAGGTCCCTTTTATGACAGAAGTTATTATCTTTCCTTTGGATGGTTCATTACTCCTAATTCCCCCAGGAGTGGCTACTCAGGGTGGAGGAAAACATGGAATGAAATTGACATTTAAAAAGCGAGAATCAGTCTTCTCCACATTCCTGAGAAAATGGAGATTCGAATTTCCTTGAGCGATTCTGTGTTGAGAGGGTATGAAGCATGCTCAATTTCGTTTCTCTAGATGCTCTCTGAGAGAAATACGAAGAGGTTGATTTTTTTTCATGAGAAGAGGTTCAAGAGAGGGAATAGGCGTTACCGAAGCCTATTGATAAATAATGATTGACAACTCGATAAGTAGAAACACAATACTTGTTTATTCTTGGAACTGCTTGGTGGGAACCAATTAAGAGTGTCTTTAGTAATAAAAAAAAAGTGGGTGAACTTCATTTGCAAGTCCTTTCTACTTGCAATCGCGAAAAGGTCATCAGAACAAGGATTGAATTCTTGTTTTGGCTTCATTTGGTGGACTTCAATATTGAATTTCTCACATAATTCACGATAATTTGCATTTAGGCATCGCCTTATTTCCTTTCGCAGATCATATCAATCTATATAGGCTAAATATGCATTAAAAGTATGGATACGTACATATAGGTTGCATTAAGTGTTGGTTGAAAAATGTACTAATTTTATTCAAGGAAACTTCCACCTCTAGTAAACTCCATGAAATCTAATGAGCACTATTTCGCGTATCTAACCTGATTTCAGTTGTCTTGTTGACCGTATCAATGAATCGCTGCGTATTACTTCTAATTTTTACTGGATGTCGTTTTCTCCGAGCCAGCTCAAGTTCGATCCATCAATAGGATGAGCCAATCAGTAAATCGGTCTTTGATTCGTTTTGGGCGAATTAGGGTTACTTAGACAACTCATGACTATTTTCCTTCAGGTTTCTTTGGCAAACTAGGGCTATTCTCGAGTAGCTACTCTGATGTTACGTGAAAAGGATAATTTAGTCGCTCGGAGTCAATTTGGTAAATGTCTCTTCATGTCACACTCACATCCAGGTGACCACCCCACGACCCACGTCACACCCGGGGCCATGATATGATGTCTAAGGGCACGATTAGCATGCCTCTCTTTTGAAAATCTGTATCTCCTCAATCCGTGGTCTCAGAAACGTCAAATCTGTACCATTCTCCTTGGGACGTACAACGCTAAATGGGAATTTTAAATACATGCATGTAATTGTCGTTCTCGAGACGCCATGACGCCAAAACTGAGAATTTTTTAGTTTCCGGATTCTGTTTTTTCACTCTCATTCGTCGTAGAAATTTTCTATCGGCAAAAGCACGCTTCAGTTTTTAGAGGCCACATTGGTCCATCTTTTTGCGGAGTTGCGCACAGTTTCCTCAAACCGTTCCCCCTCAAAGTTCGATGATCCACCTGAAAAATCCGAATCAGGAGTTCTGATGCCCGGGAAGTGAGTGGAGCCTCAAGCCCGCTTTCGGCATGCCCACGTACTCCCCTCCCTTTTCAAGTCCACGCTCTTAAAGGAGGACTCGGCGGCCGCGCTGGTTCAAGTGCAAAATGGGTCGAGAACCGGCCATTTAAATCTGGTGTAATCACCACTTGTCAGCTCGGTTCCTCTGAGAGCAACCCAGCTAGAAAACCGACTGGCGAAAGGTTTTATCGACGATCGACACACTCCGTCGATGTCCAGTGTCTCTCGGTTAATATTGAGGTGTAATCCCAACGACTTGCGTGAAATCCTCCTCGTCGCCATGTGGATTCGCTTCTCTTTCAGCAGAACTACGAGAATCACGACGACCGCGACACGGAAAATGGTAAGTGTTCTACAGTATATGTCGTGCATTTCCATGATCGGGCTTTAGATCAACAGAGCAGCACTGCACGAGAATTAAACTCGTTTCAGGCATCGATTAGTGCTTCTCCCATCTTGAGGAATAGTTTCTCTCTGTTTCTTGGATTTGCCCACATCCGTAATGATTCGTTCTTTGCGCTTGACTTCAAGTGACGCAAACGGTGTGCAGTAGTTCAGACCCAAGGCTTCTTAATGATTATATTTCCCTAATTATAATGTTTCTTAATTGGAAAACAGAAAGTAAACTAGACAAAGTTCTGCCAATCGACTGCGGTTTTTTCCCCAGCAGCGATTCGAACTGCCTCTAGAATTTTTACTCTCCCTCATTCTTGATGAATCGACCGATACCGATATCTACTAATATCGATTGACATGGATTGGATTTTCTTGCTGAGTTCCCCCAGAGGCAGGCGAGAACCCCATCCGGAAAAGGTCAGCAGTCGATCCTCAACCGAGTCGGACAAGGGAAAGGGCTTGCGGAGGGAAGCCCCGAGAGACGTCCCTTGCTCAGGCCAGAGGTGCTGAATGGGAAGCTGAAAAACGAGCGTCACGCCCCAGGGAGCTTCATTTTCCTGGAATACCCAACCATTTCGTCATATCTTGCCTTCCGATCGGCGGCAGGCGATGCCTCGGCGTTGCCGCAGGGATTTCAGTCCTCCAGATGAGGACAGTTTGCTGGGTGAGTCGAATGGGGTTGGCCAGAACACGCACGGCTTCAGTCGATATCGTTCCTCGTCCTTTTTTTTTTATTAATCTCCCTTACATTTGGGAATCGCTTGTGTGTGCAGGATGAACAGTACACTGATTATATCTGGCGAATGGAAAAAAAATTCGCGGAAATGCAATAAAAATGTGTTGATGCTGTTTATCACAGTGGATGCGTCAAATATGCAAATGAATAAAAATGAACTTATCAACAGGAAAAAAAAGGAAAGTCCAATTTAAAGAACACAGCGAGACAGGGATCTCTGCAACCCTGTCGACAGACCTTATGACGGGGACAGCATGAGGATGAGGAGGAAATAGAGTAATAATGATGATATTAAAGTAAACACTGGCAAACATTCTTCTTAAAACCCAGCTCATAGCACAAGAGAAGTGGAAAAACTTTATTTGCAGTTGCGATCACGGGAGGCTCTTCCGCAGAACGAATAATTAAGGTTTCACTTCCGGCGAGATGCTCGTCTTCTAAGGGCCAGATAGGCCATGAGGTTATACACTATCATCATGGTGAATAGAATGAAAATGTCTCGGAGTTGATTCTCCTAAGAAAGGAGGACAAAGGAGGACAACACTCAGTAACGCACCTTCCTGACAGCAGGCTCAAGAGAGAGAAGGAGAGTTGATCATACCGCGTCGAAGTGCATGACGGAGAGGACGGCATCGCCATGGGGAAGGCACCTGAAGGAATCCCCGCAGTCGATCTCGAGGTCTTTCCACTGATTGATCATGAGGGCCTCGTTCCCGTAATAGAACCACGAAATGTACTTCAGCCATAATAAGTAAACGGGAATTGAGCTGAAAAAAAAAGAAACGATGCGAGGAGGCCGTCGAGAACCAATTTTTGATTTAGTTTGCAGTCTAACGGATGCGGAAGCCTTCATTATCTTCTTCCTATGTAAGTCATTTTTAAGATTGGGGCTTTTTATTCTGCTTACCTTCGATTTTATTGGGGAAAATTTTGAGATAAAAAAAATACTTCTGATGAACATCTGCAAACGTGAATTATGTGGAGGAAAATTCAGCCAAATTTCCGAGCTTTTCAAGGTTTGAAAGGGATGGAGTCAGAAAAGGAATGGTCGACTTCAGTGATGAAGTAGTGCGAACGACCTTTTTAAACGGCTTTCATTCCCCCAAAGCCAATTGAAATGAGCATGACCGAGCTCCTGCACGCCGGCGTTAAGCTATGTTTATTCCTTTCACCTTCGCATTTTCTCGGATTGACGTTCATAGTTGAAACGCATACGAAGCGAAAAACCTTCAACCTTAACAATTGTAATATTAGAAGAGGAGATGTGGGATGTGGACTTTTGGGTTGTGGACGTGTGGACTTAAGAAATGGCATGGTATGAATGATTCATCCACTCAGCTTTTGGGATGGGCCAATCTCAAATGAACAAAAAAGGAAACCTTTATGCTAGAAGGGGCTCCCATTCTTCACAGCGTTCCTAACTTCTCCGATGAAAAGCTCCCTCGTCGGTGGAACGCGCAGCGTGGACCGATTCATTGAGCTGGTCTTCGAATTTCAGTCAGGCTGAATTATTTTGTGGGGTTGCATCAAAGGTACCGTGTATGCATCGTAACCTCAGACCCTTCCAACACGTATGGTGCTATCGTTGCTGAGATGCAGAGCTTTTTCAGCCGAGTTGCGCCGACGAGTGAGAACGACACCGGTAAGACTGCAGTTGGAAATGTACCACAAGGGTGGACTCATTAAGCAGTTTTATGATGAGTTTTATGGGAATAAATGCTTCACGACACGTAGTTTCCTGTTTATACTATTTTCCATGGCTTTTCAAAAAATGTTTGTCTAAGGAGTCTTTCGACATGTATAGCTCGAGATATTTCCGTTTCGTTCCCGAATTCACCATGAAGAATGACTCAGCTTTGGGGTGGCTCATGCTTTCCTCCTTCACCAACTAAACATTAACTCAGTATCCGTTTTCATCTAGTTTTCTTGTTTTGAAGCAATGCGATGGGCTTTCTTATGTGTTCTGTAATTTCCATTTTCTTTCCATCATTTTGCTATTTGGTTTAAATTTCTACTTCATTCGCCATTCCATTCAACTGGACTTACTTGTTGTTGATGAAGTGGCCGCTAACCAAGAGCATCGGAAGGAGGATCAATGTAGCCAAGGTTAAGCCCGTGCTGACTGAGCTGGTCAAGCACGAGATCATATAACCTACAAGGAAAAAATCGAAACGCATCGCATTAATCATTCCCATTCCCCGATTGCGAACGAAAACACTCAAAACGTGCATTACTGCAAGAGGTGACGACATTCGACATGATGATCATGATGAGAGCGCACACGACGAAGCGGTCGAGGGATCCGTTGAGGCCGATCATGAAATAGACGATCGCGGTGAAGACGGCGGGGAAGAGAATCGAAAGTGGGAGCTCGGCCACGACCTTGCTGATGAAATACGCGTCCGTCCTGTACATCCCGCTTTGGTGTTCCCTCAAGAAGACAGGTAACTCTTCGCAAAACAACTATATGGGGGGGGGTGTAAAAAAAGGAACAATTTTAAAATATTTTCTTCCGAAAGAAATAGGACTTGGATGTCGAACATGTTGTGCATTTGATAGAGAGTTTCAGGCAATCAAGAATATCCAATAAATGCCCCATCTTTCTCCATGACGTTCTTCAGTCGCTTGGTCATAGATGAAGCTGGCCTTTTCAGCAAAAAATTGGTCCGAGTTTTTCCAATCTTCTTTGATCACATTTGCCAGGGTGTGAGGTAGCGCCAACCCAAAATTGTGATGGATGTTATAGATTGTCTATAAATTATTTATCAAATAAACTACATGTTCACCGTCTAAGTCCTATATTTCGTGAGAAAATGCTACTTTAAAAAGTGTATATTTTTTGTTACACCTATATACGGAGATAGATATCATGGACGGTCAGGGACGAAAAGAATACGAAAATCAACGAAGAAAGGAAGCACAAATAAAACGATTGCGTTCAACTAAATAAACGATCAAGTGCTTTAAAATTCATTCATCCTGCATTCCCACTCCGATTGACAAGAAGGGAAACTCACATTCAAAAGCGAGAAAATGTTCATAGTATTTCCACTGATGAGTAAGATGAAGATGGCGCCATTCACATTCATCACTCCCTCATACTTGCTGTAATCCTGCCTCCAGAAGATGACTCCCAATAGTAGAGCCAGCATCTAAAAACATGATATCGCACCATCCGCTGAGTACCATCAGTTGCTGCAATTGGAAATTTAGTGTATCTCATACGAGGCATGTTAAATATGAAATACGTACTCACATGCAAAAATTTCTTTGCAATCGGGTCAGTTCAGAAGAATCTATACTGCTTATATTTCAGAGTTTTTTTGTGTGTCTGTTCTTCATGCGCGTCCTCGCCTTTGATCACAATCCGACTAAACAAAGATACTTGGAAGGAACGAACCACAGTCTGGAAAAAGCGAAGTTTGATGATGAAGGGTTCTCGAAGGTTGGCAGTGCAGCATCGAGCGAAAATGGCGCGAAACTGGGAGAACCAAGACAGCTCGTATTTGAACGTCATTTCGTTCTCCTTCTCATCGATGTCCGAGTTGTCTTTCGGAGCCCCGTTCATGACCGCCTCGCCAGACAAGCCGATTTCGTCTTCCAGAGCCTTCCTTTCCTCCGAGTCCCAGAATGCGTCGCAGATGAAGGAGACCCGTTCTTTGCGTTCCTCTTCCGCGCCGGGGACGATGGCCAGGGTGTGGATGTAGAAGTCGGCAGGATTGTACTTCGACGGGCATTCGTATCCGATCCTAGAAATTAAAGAAAATTCCTTAAATACCTCCTAACGCCAGTTTAAAAGATTGATGCTATTTTATGTGGACGAGGAAATTGCGGATCTCTTTCTACATATATCTTTATACACACAACGTGAGCGTCACGTGATTTGACACAAGAATCGTGTTGCATTGATAATTACGGGAAAACAACGAAACTCGAACTATTTATCCCTCAATTTCTCTCGGAACATAGTGGCCTGCCCAGGATACGACCATTTTGTTTCGCCTCTCTCTGAAACTACCTGTTTTCAATGGTCAAGTTTTGGTAGGAATAAATCCTCGGTGACATAAAGTGTGTGATAATAGCCCTTCGAAATGGGATATGCCATAATCGTACACACTGCATCTTGAGTCGAACACATGCGCTCTGAGTCACACTCTCACTCCGTCATCTCTACAGCCCGCCTCAGCTACCCTCGTGACTGATGTCTTCCAGTTCTGTTCACACATTTTGCGACCCCATTTTGTTTCCGTAAGAGAAAAGCAAACATCCCTTACAAAAAATCCACAAATGTGGACTACCCTAAGTCCACCAGGAGGATTTGGATGAATCCTGTTGTGGATCACATGTGGATTACGAGGATCCACATAGAGTCCACATTAGTCCCCATGTGGACTGGTCCACATGGGGGCTTGTCCACAGTAGGTCCACACTATTCCACATGTGTAACTGTCATTCCACATGTGGATTGGATCACCCGGAGGATTAGGATAGTCCCCCGATGGACTACAGAGGGATTTTTCGTATGGGATACGAGGAATAAAAGGACCTATTTTCTAGAAGCTTGCACACTGATACGTTCCAAGTCACTACACTTACATGCATAAAGCAAGAGTCAAACGAACTGTTCGAGTTTAGAGTCAATTTATGGATTTGCAATTTTAAACCGAACGTGCATTCATGTCAATGTCTTACGACATAATCAATCCAAACTGATGGGATATTATCCTACCAATAACATATTCCTAAAGGAACTCTTACACTAAATTGTGCATGAACGCGTAGTTCTGTGGAATAATTTTCCTGGAGATACCCTAGAACTGAAATCCGATTGCTTCATATTCAATATAGGCGCGCTCTTAGACTTTGTACTTCTACTTCTTCCCACGATCGAAGGAAGGGCGTCCTTAATGTTTCCAACTCTGATCAGGATCCATGCAAATGCGACTGAAGCAAGAGTGATCGGACATCAGACCAGTGCTTCTGAACATTTGTTACCCTTCCCCTTTCGCTATCGTGTGCAGTCGTAAACTATTGCAGTAAGTGGATAATGCAAGGAAAATGCAATTTAAAGGTAAAACTGAATGAAATACCTTGAAACCTGAAATTCCTGGATGGAAGAAAGGCTTTCCGGGCGTCATCAACGTTGAATATCTTTCATTTTCAGGATTCACCTGAATATTTCCTTCTGAATGGGCAAAAGCATTGCTCAAAAAACAAATAAATTACTTATCTTGAATTATTTCTGTCGAAATATGGGAATGAGATTTTCGCCTTGCCCATGGCTTTCATCCTAAATTAAAGAAAAAGCCTGAGTTCTTCCATGGTGCTCTCTTGCGCCTATTCACGATCGATCGAAGCAAATATATCAAACGGACAATGAAATAATATGAAGCCTAGATGTTTCGAAAGGTTATGCTTATCCTCCATATAAAATAAATTAATTACTTCACAACTAATTTGGATCTCGGTTCTCCATAAAAATGTCAATTACGGGTGAAGTTTGCAATGCCTCGAACCTAAGCTAAAAACGAGAATTACTCAACTTCGCCGCTGATGTTAGAACTTCGAAGATGGAATAACTTGGTGTATCCTACAGATTTGGCCGAAGTAATTTTATTTCTCCAAATGAAGAGAAAGCACAGGTTTTTTTTTATGAACTCGTAGGTCCTACTTTTCCAATCGTAAACTACATTAATGAGGACTCAAAAATGGGAGGAAATTATGCTAAAAAGTCTTTGAATTTATAAGCCCTCCTCTGAAATACAATATCTCCCCTCCATTTTTAGGCAGTACTACTCAGGACATTATACGAGTACATGATGCTTGATTGTGATTTAACGCATTTGCATTCGCACTGAATCTTGCTGGAATGAATTCGTACCATAACGCTTCTTCCCACAGTAGTGCCATTATTTTTTTTGCGCATTCATACCGTTGAAAGAAGGAGGCGGCGTCTTTTGACAGTCCCGTGAAGGCAGTTCTCCCCTCGGCAAGGAGAAGAATCCGATCGAACATGGGGAAGATCTCGGATGAAGGTTGATGGATGATGGATACTATGGTCTTCCCCTTCTCGGCCAGGGACTTCATGAGGGCCACCATTTGTTGGGCCAGAAACGAGTCCAGGCCTGAGGTCGGCTCGTCAAAAAAAAGCTCTCGGATGAAGGTTGATGGATGATGGATACGATGGTCTTCCCTTTCTCGGCCAGGGACTTCATGAGAGCCACCATTTGTTGGGCCAGAAACGAGTCCAGGCCTGAGGTCGGCTCGTCAAAAAAAAGCAATGGTGGATCCATCAGAATCTATTTACAAAAGAAAGACACTTTTTAGCAAAAATTATCAAGACCTACGGTATTTTTAATTATAAAAGTAAAATCATGAAGTGTGACTTCGGAAGCGATGGAGAGACGCTTCAATTCTCCGCCTGAGATGCCTTTAATCCGACCTGGAATGCCGATTATCGTGCCTGAACAATTACTCAATCCTCAATTATAAAAGTAAAATCATGAAGTTTGACCTCGGAGGCGATGGAGAGACGCTTCAATTCTCCGCCTGAGATGCCTTTAATCCGACCTGGAATGCCGATTATCGTGCCTGAACAATTACTCAATCCCATCTGAAAAAAATATTAAATACAAGTTCAGAGTTGATGTTTAATATATTTGTAATCTTGGAATGTCTGAACGCTAAAGTTGCTACACCTCAATGATAATATCTTCAACTCGCTTCATTCGTTGTTGGTGACTGACTTCTTTGCCCATTCTCAACAGAGCCTATAGCAGGGAAAAGAAATTGTGAAAAAGAATATTCATGCGACTTTCACATAGATTTTCATATTTCCTGCCTGAAACCGCAGATGTTCTTTAACGGTGAGGGAACCGATGAAGAAGTTTTCCTGTTGGATGTAGGCGGAAATGCCTGCCAACTCACTCCTCTTGATAGACTTCCCGTTCACCATGAGTTCCCCTGAGACTTTGAGATCTCCCAAGTTCCGCGACGTCATCACGTTCATCAGCGTCGACTTCCCGGCTCCAGTTGCTCCCATAATGGCTAACATTTCGCCCGAATGCACGATCCCACTCACTAGTCAGGCATGAAATTGAAGGCTTCAATAAAGGTCAAGATAGGAATTAAAGCAATTCACAGGGCCTTTAAGATGTGAGGAATGGAATACCTTCTTGGAGGATGTGTTTGATGCTTTCAGCATCGGTCTTCCGGAATATATTGACGAGTCTGTTCCAAGACGATTTTTTTGGACGGTTCCAAACATTTATATTACGGAAAGATAGGCCAAGATCAGGGGATTGGAGCCAGATGGAATTCCTTGGACACTCTTCTGGCGGTTCCATCTTCAACTGGCACCTACTGGCTAATGAAGTCAATTGATCTTGTAGCTGTCGGTTCACTTCAGGCCAACCAATTCGCGGTTTTAAGAAACTTTCTGGAGAAGAGCGAAGGAGCCCCCTTTAGATGAGAATTCGCTTTTCCAATGTTAGCCTTTTCTGAAAGAGAGGGTGATGAGAATTCTTGATTTGTTTGATACACCATAACTTCTGCTTAGTCTTAAAGGGTCTCAATAATTAAAATGAATCTTCTAAAGTGGGTGTGTCAGAGAAGCACACCTCAATCTGTAAAAGATAAACTTGAGACATTATGCCACCATACAACGCGTATTTCATATTTTCTTTCTTTCCCTAAATAATACTTTTAAAATTCGTTCAACCGTTTCACTGTACCTTGCATTCCTAGAGTGAGAAAGGAATCAAGCAACCCCTGCAGTTTTGCGGATTCGTAAGGAGGCAATAGAAGAAACGATTTCATGCCAGCGTCAAGGAATGGATCACTAACAGCCTTAATGAATTTTCTACCACCACCCAGGGACGATCAAGACTGTTCTAGTGGCAAAGGATCCCTGAAATATGCCATTGAATCTCAGTGAGAAGGCACGGCAATTACTTTTTCTTAATTGGGACGACGCAGTGATACAGTCACTTATTAATTGCCGTGCCTTATCACTGAAATTCAATAGCATATTTCATTGATCTTTCGCCACTGGAACAGTCTACGAAGTGCGGTCAGAAAGTTCATACCGTTCAGCCATATCTCATTTTCAGTCCGGAGTTCTGAATTGAAACTGCGGTCACTTCTCGACATAATCACCTGCTTTATCCACACACAATTGCCACCTCCGTTGCCAGTCACTGAAGGAGTTGGCAAACGTTTCTTCAGGTGTATTCTTAAACCACTGGTAAACCGCTGTACCAAGAGCTTGTCGAGAGCCATACTTCTTGCCTCGTAAAGAATCATTAAGCTTGGAGAACATCCAAAAGTCGCTGGGCGCGAGGTCCTATGAGTACGGGGGTGGGGCATGACCTCGATGCCCTTTTCCAGCAAAAACTCCATTACAACACCTGCCTTGTATGGTGGTGCGTTGTCCTGGTGGAGAATGAACCTGCCATTGGCCTTCAACGGACGCAATTTGTTCACTGCTGGTAAAAGCTCAGTTTGTAAAACTTGCTTGCGGTTGTTTTCACTAATCGTAGCACCTTTAGGAACTGCGTGAGCTAGAACCAAGCCCTTCATGTCCCAGAAAATGGCAAAGAACTTCCTCATTGGAAGGGACATGACGGAACTTTTTGGGTGGCGGGGAGTCAGAGTGCTTCCATTGTGGTGACTGTCTTTTTGCTTCTGGGTTGAACAAAGGGATCCACACTTCGTCCTCGGTGAAAACTAAATCCATGAAGTCATTTGGATCAGCCGCGGTCCGGGTCAACATGGCAGAAGACAATGTGAAACGGACCTGTTTCTGTGCCTCTGTGAGCATGTGAGGCACCCACCGAGCACTCACCTTGGTCATCTTCAGATCATGACTCAGAATTTTGACCACGGTTCCATGTGACAGACATGTGACATAGTCTCCCTGCAGCTTCGGCGATTGTTACTCGCCTGTCTGACATCACCAGATTTTCAACACGTGCAATGTTTTCTTCAGAGCTCTGAGCTCTGGGCCTTCCGAAGCGAAACTTTGTCATTGGTGGCGATTCTTCCAGCAGCAAAATCACGGACCCACTTGCGAACCGTGCAATCTGCGAGGGCCGAGTCCCCACACACCTGTAGTAGCTGTTGGTGAATGTTCGCTGCGTTTTCCCCACATGCTGAGAGAAATTTTATCACGGCTTTGTTCTTCTGCTTTGAACTCCATTGCTCAGGGGCAACAGGGAAGACACTCTGTTGAAAAAAACAACCCTGCAGACAAGCAACAATACCAGCGATGCTCACAATTTAATGTGTGGCTCGCAACTGACCACTCTACCTTGTCCAACCATTATTTATTCTAACTTATTCAAGGAACGACTGCTAGAAGCGAGCGGTACGGACTTTCTGACTGCACTTCGTAGATCACCCCTGAGTGGCGGTAGAAAATGAAGTTCCTGGTACAAATAAGTCAGTTGTTCACGAAAGTATAAACAAGAATCTAACTGGTATAAGGCGATGAGAAGTAATGCAGGAAATAGGCCAATTCTAAAGGATTGTTGAAGACCTGGAGCCAACAGTCACACGTGAAGAAAATGCTGCTCATGCTATAATGACGGGATGCAACTAGTGAGTGAATCAGCTGCTGGGTTACATGAGGATAAAGCCAAATATTGCATCCAGAAACATCCATCCTAAATATTATCAAGGCAACGTGCATATATTAGCTTGTTAATGGAAATATTTCTCATCCTGAACGTCAAGCGAAGGTCGTGAACAACCATGCAGGGAGCGGAGATACAACTATTGCTACGGTTGCCAGATGCGTTCCTTTAGTCCCTAAGTAAAAGTTAATGGGAGTTCATGCACACAATCTTCTTTTGAGCGACAAGTAGGAAATCCCCAACGACCAAAAAATATTTCTAAGGCACAAATATATATAAGGAAAACCACAACGCCCATGAGTCCCGTAAAGGTCCAGCAGACAACCCTGTGATGCATCCGAAGGTCATCCAAGGGATAAGACAATAGAATATCCTTAGGATAGCTGCATACTTCCACGGCACGTGCAATGCTCTTGCAAGGGATGTCCATGAGACACCCCGTGGACGTGCTGCTGCTCGTGTCCTCGCTTCTAAGGTAAATCTCCGAAGAAAGGAAAAGGCATTCTCGTCAATGTTGTGCTGTTACGGATACTGGCTGTTGTTTGTTTCCAGCGCGCAATCTGATCTGGTGGATACAACGTTTAGGGACCTCAATAGCGTCTTTGCATAGCGGCAGCATCTGATGAGGACCATTGTGATTACGAACTTCTTGAAGCGTGTGTTTTTGTCCCGTGGGCCCCAGGACTACAAAATGAAGTCCACACGAACCATTGTCATGAAACTAGCCATGTGGCAAATATGGAACGATTTCGAACGCTGAATCCACGTATGAATTGTCCGGTCGAAGAAAAATTCAACTTTTGGAATACATTCCTAGGGACACTTTTTTTGAGGGCGGGAGAGGGGGGGGGGAGGGGAATGCGGTTTTCCCGAAACTTTTCATTCCGGTAAATAGGCAGAAATGACAGAAACAGAATTTTTGTACTCAAGTAATCCTAAAGGATGCTAATTTATGGAAAAATTGTACTTTTAGGGTCCATTCATAGGGGATGAACAATATTTTGGGGGGGGGGGGGGGGGGGGGAAGATATAGCATTTCACTGATGTTGATTTTTCGTCGAATTCTCAACTTCAACCAAGTCTCAACGTTTCAACCTATTCTCAATGTTGATACAACGTTGTTGTGCCGAATGGGAATGGTTCTTATCAGATGCTGGCGCCATGCAAAGACGCTACTGAGGTCCCTAAACGTTGTATCCGCCTGATCAGATTGCGCGCTGGAAACAAATAGCCGCCAGTAACGGTAACAGCACAACATTGACGAGAATGCCTTTTCCTTTCTTCGGAGAATCATCTTACAAGCGCGAATACGAGCAGCAGCACGTCCACGGGGTGTCCCATGGATATCCCTTGCAAGAACATTGCACGTGCTGTGGAAGTTTCCAACTAACCCTAGGATATTCTGCTGGCTTCTCCCTTGGATGACCTTCGGATACATCACATGGTTGTTTGCTGGACCTTTACGGGACTCATGGGCGTCGTGGTTTTCCTTATATCTATTTGTGCGATAGAAATCTTTCTGTCGTGGGGGATTCCCTACTTGTCGCCTCAATAGAAGATTCTGTGCATGAATTCTCAGTAACTTTTATTTCGGGACTAAGGAACGCATCTGGCAACCGTAGCAATAGTTGTATCTCCGCTCCCTGCATGAGTTGTTCACGACCTTCGCTTTATAATTATTTGGCTTCGTAATTATGTAACCAAGCAGCTAATTCACTCACTAGTTGCATCACGTCATAATAGCATAACCAACATTTTCTTAGCGTGCGACTGTTAGCTCCAGCTCTTCCACGATCCCTTATAATTGGCCTATTTCCTCTCTGCATTAAGTCTTATTGACCCCGCCTTGTACCAATTATATTCCTATTCAGGCTTTCATTAAAAACTGACATATTTGTTCCAGGCACTTCATTTTCTACCGCCACCCTGGGGCGATCTAGGCTGTTCCAGTGGCAAACGATCCCTGAACTATGCCATTGAATCTCAGTGACATGGCACGACAATTACATTTTCCTAATTGGGACGATGCAGTGATACAGATCAATATCATTCATCTTGACTGTCATTGATTCATTCCTTGGCGCCGACATGAAATCGTTCATTCCATCGTCTCCTCACGAATCCGCTATCTGCATGGGTTGCTTGATTTCTTTCTCGCTCTAGGGATACAATGTACAGTGAAAAGGTTGAACGAATTTTAAAAAGTATTATTTAGGGAAAGAAAGAAAATGTGAAATACGCGTTGTATGGTAGCATAGGGTCTCAAGTTACTACTTTTAATAGTTTTATGCGAGCTTTGCTAACACACCCACTTTAGAAGATTCATTTAAATTATTGAGACTCTCTATAAGACTGGACAGAAGTTGTGGAGTATCGAACAAAACAATTATTTTCATCACCCTCTATTTTAGAAAAGGCTACCATTGGAAAAGTGAATTCTCATCTATATGGGACTCCCTCGCTCTTTTCCCGAAAGTAACTTAAACCGGGAGTTGGTTGTGCTGCAGTGAACCTAAAGCTAAAAGATCAATTGACATCGCTAGTCAGTAGGTGTCAGTTGAAGATGGAGCCGCCAGGAGAGTGTCCAAGGAATTCCATCTGGCCCCAATCCACCCATCTTAGCCTATCTTTCCGTAACATAAATGTTTGGAAACTTCCAAAAAAATCATCTTGGAACAGACTCGTCAATTTATTCCGGAAAACCGATGTTGAAGGCATCAAACACATCCTCCATGACGGTATTCCTTTCCTCACATTTTAAAAGCCCAGTGAATTGCTTTAGTTCCTATCATGACCATTATCGAAGCCTTCCATTTCGTGCCTGACTAGTGAGTGGGATCGTGCATTCGGGGGAAATGTTAGCCATTATGGGAGCGACTGGAGCCGGGAAGTCGACGCTGATGAACGTGATGACGTCGCGGAACTTGGGAGATCTCAAAGTCTCAGGGGAACTCATGGTGAACGGGAAGTCTATCAAGAGAAGTACGTTGGCAGGCATTTCCGCCTACATCCAGCAGGAAAACGTCTTCATCGGTTCCCTCACTGTCAGGGAACACCTGCGATTTCAGGCAGGAAATATGAAAATCTATGTGAAAGTCGAATGAATATTCTCTTTCACAATTTATTTTCCCTGCTATAGGCTCTGTTGAGAATGGGCAAGGAAGTCAGTCACCAACAACGAATGAAGCGAGCTGAAGATATTATCATTGAGGTGTAGCAACTTTAGCGTTCAGACATTCCAAGATTACAAATATATTAAACATCAACTCTGAACTTGTATTTAATATTTTTTTCAGATGGGATTGAGTAATTGTTCAGGCACGATAATCGGCATTCCAGGTCGGATTAAAGGCATCTCAGGCGGAGAATTGAAGCGTCTCTCCATCGCTTCCGAAGTCACACTTCATGATTTTACTTTTATAATTGAAAATATCCTCGGTCTTGATAATATTTTCTGAAACGTATATTTCTTTTGTAAATAGATTCTGATGGATCCACCATTGCTTTTTTTTGACGAGCCGACCTCAGGCCTGGACTCGTTTCTGGCCCAACAAATGGTGGCTCTCATGAAGTCCCTGGCCGAGAAGGGGAAGACCATAGTATCCATCATCCATCAACCTTCATCCGAGGTCTTTGCCATGTTCGATCGGATTCTTCTCCTTGCAGAGGGGAGAACTGCCTTCACGGGGATGTCCAAGGAAGCAGTTTCCTTCTTTCGACGGTATGGATGCTCAAAAAAAATCGTGGCACTACTGTGGCAAGAAGAGTTATGGTAAAAATTCATTACATTGTCCTTCTGAGAAGGGCTTTTAAATTCCAAGACTTTTTCAAATCATTTCCTTGTATTTGCAGCTTCATTAATGTAGGTTGCTATTTGAAAAGTAGGACTTACGAGTCGGTCATTAAGAAAGAAAAAAAAACTCGATTTGTCTTCATTGAGAGAAATTATACTCCTATGTCCACATCGCTAGGATTCACCAAGTTTCATCATCCTCGAAGTTCTTACGTCAGTGGCGAAGTTTAGTAATTTCGTTTTCAGCTTATGTTCGTGGAATTGTAAACTAATCTCGCAATTGATATTTTAATAGAGATCCGATCATATTAGTTGTGAATTAATTTTTTAATTTCGATGGAGATAAAAAGATTAACATTTGAAACACCTACGCTACATACAATTTTCTTCGTCCGTTTGATATTTTGCTTCAAAGGATCGCAAATAGACGCAAGAAGGGGGAAAAAAACTCAGGAAAAGCACAAGTACTTTTCAATTTGGGATGAAAGCCATGGACAAGGCGAAAATCTCATTCCTATATTTCGGCAGGAAAATTTGAAGAAAAATAATTTATTTGTTCCTTGATCAAATAAATTGCCTTTTGCCTATTCGGAAGAAAATATACAGGAAAATTCTGAAAAGGAAATATGTGAGAAATGTTAGCCAAAGATAAAAGGCAGAAAATGTTTCTGCCATGTTCTGATTCTGCTCGTTTCTATTCAACATTGATGATGCCCGGAAAGCCTTTCTTCCATCCAGAAATTTCCGTTTCAAGGTATATATTTCAATTTTATCTTGAAATATTCTCTCGCATTATCCACTTCCTACCATAATTTACGACTGTACACGATAGTGAATGGGGAAGGGTAAGAAATGCTCAGAAACACTGGTTATCCTATCAACCTTCCTTCAGTTAGATTTGCATGGAACCTGAGAGGGACTTGGAAAGATTGAAGACACCCTTCCTATATCATTGAAGGTATCCCATAACAATGAATCATCCCACAAGCATCCCACACGTCTTTGTCCAAAGAAAATATTTATGACACGATTCTTGTGTCAAATCATGTGATGCTCACGTTGCGTGTACTGGTATGTAGTAACAGATCCACAATTTCCACGTCCAGCATTCAATATCACGTATTGATATTCAATAATAGCACCAGTCTCTCCAACTGCCGTTCGTAAGTTTTTATAGAAATTTTTTTATTGTCTAGGATTGGATACGAATGCCCGCCAAAATACAACCCTGCCGACTTCTACATCCACACCCTGGCCATTGTCCCGGGCGCGGAAGAGGAACGCAAAGAACGGGTCTCCTTCATCTGCGACGCATTCAGAGATTCGGAAGAATGGAAAGCGCTGGAAGACGAAATTGGCTTGTCTGGCGATGTGGCCAGGAACGGGGCTTCAAAAGACAACTCAGACATGGATGAGAAGGAGAACGAAATGACGTTCAAATACAAGCTGTCTTGGTTCTCCCAGTTTCGCGCCATTTTCACTCGATGCTGGACTGCCAACCTTCGAGAACCCTTCGTTATCAAGCTTCGCCTCTTCCAGACTCTGGTTCGTTCATCCCAGTAACTTAGTTTAGTCGGATTGGGATCTGAGGCGTGGCCGTGAATAAAGAACAGACATAGACCCAGACACAGACACAGACACCGACACACACACAAACACACACGCACACACGCATTGAAATCTGAGTAGTATAGATACATCTTCTTTGATCCGATTGCAATGAAATTTCTGTATGTGAGTACGTACTTACAAAATAAAATATGCCTCGTTTGAGATATATACTTGGGTTCCTATTGCATGAACTGATAGTGCTCAGCGGATGGTGCGATTTCATGTTTTTAGATGCTGGCTCTACTATTGGGAGTCATCTTCTTCAGGCAGGATTTCAGCAAGTTTGAGGGAGTGATGAACGTGAATGGCGCCATCTTCCTCTTCCTCATCAGTGGAAATTCAATGTACTTGATCTCGCTGCTGAATGTGAGTTTCCCTTCTTGCCAAAATGCATGATGAATGCAATTTAAAGCAGTTATTCGTTTAGTTAGTTCAATGGAATTGTTTTATTTATGCTTCCTTTCTTAGTTCGTTTTCGTCCCTGACCGTCCGGGATGTCCATCTCCGTATATAGGGAGTGTAACAAAAAATAAATACATTTTAAAGTATCATTTTCTCACCAAAAGTAGGACTTAGATGGTGAAAATGTAGTGTATTTGATGGAGAATTTTAGGCAATCATTAATATCCAATAATTGCCTCATCTTTCTCCCTTACCTTCTTCAGCCGCTTGGTCATAGATGGAGCTGATCTTATTAGCAAAGTGGGGTCCGAGTTCTTCCAATATTCTATTACCTCTATTAGTCATTCCCATCTCAGTTTTGGGTTGGCCCTGCCTCACGCCCTGGCAAATGTGAGCAAAACAGTTTGGAAGAACTTGGACCCCGCTTTTGCTGAAATGGCCAGCTTCATCTATGACCAAGCGGCTGAAGAAGGTCATGGAGAAAGATGGGGCATTTATTGGATATTCATGATTGTCTGAAAATTCTCTATCAAATACACAACATGTTCGTTATTCATGTCCTATTTCTCACAAGAAAATATTTTAAAAGTGTTTCTTTTTTTTCACACCCCCCCTCCCATATAGTTGTTTTCCGAAGAGTTACCAGTCTTCTTGAAGGAACACCAGAGCGGAATGTACAGAGTGGACGCGTACTTCACCGGCAAGATCGTAGCCGAGTTCCCACTTTCGATTCTCTTCCCCGCCATCTTCACCGCGATCGTCTATTTCATGATCGGACTCAACGGATCCCTCGACCGCTTCGTCGTGTGCGCTCTTATCATGATCATCATTTCGAATGTCGTCACTTCCTGCAGTAATGCACGTTCTGAATGTTTTTGTTCTCATTCTGGGAGTGGGAGTGATTAATGGGATTCTTTTCGATTCTTTCCTTGTAGGTTATATGATCTCGTGCTTGAGCAGCACCATCAGCACTGGCATAGCCTTGGCTTCATTGATCCTCCTTCCGATGCTGTTGGTTAGCGGCTACTTCATCAATAACAAGTAGGTCCAGTTGAATGGAATCGCAAACGCAGTAGCAATTAAAAACAAATTGCAAAATGATACAAAGAAAATGGAAGTGACAGAACATATAAGAATGCCCATCGCATTGCTTCAAAACAAGAAAACCAGGCGAAAACGAATACGCTGAGGTAATGTTTAGCTGGCGAAGGAGGAGAGCATGAGCCACCTCATAGCTGTGTCATTCTTCATGTTGAATTCGGTAACGAAACGGAAATATCTCGAGCTATACATGTCGAATGACTCCCCAGACAAACATTTATTGAAAAGCAATGGAAATTGGTATACTCAGAATACTACATTTGTCTTGAAGCATTATTCCCATAAAACTAATAATAAAACTGCTTAATGAGTCCACCGTTATGGTCCATGCACAACTGCAGTCTTACCGGTGTGAGTCTTTCTCGTCGGCGCAGCTCAACTGCCAATCTCTGTGTCTCCTCGGTGACGGTAGCACCCTTAACTCTTAAACGACCAAGTTGGATCCAATTTGACCCAGAGCCAATGTTATAGTACGCGAAACTTCGAGGCTTGGTAGTTTAAGGGTTAAGTGCTGGCAGGGTCTTAGGTTTCGTTGCATCCACGGTGTCTTTGATCGAACCCGCTCAAAAAGAAATCGGTCTGAGTGAAATCCGCAGACCGCGCTGGTGAATGAATCGGCCCCCACCGCCCGATCAGCCGACGAGGGAACTTTTCGTCCGCGAAGTTACGGACTCTGTGATTGGGAGTTCCATCACACATAAAGGATTCTTCTTTCATTTGAGATTGGCCCATCCAAAAAGCTAAGTGGATGAACCATTCATACCGAGCCATCTCATGAGTCCACAAGTCCACAACCCATAAGTCCAAATCCCACATCCCCTCTTCTAATATTACAATTGTTAAGGTTGAAGGTTTTTCTCGCTTCGTATGCGTTTCAACTATGAACGTCAATTCGAGAAAATGCGAAGGAGAAAGGAGTAAACATACTTTAACGCTGGCGTGCAGGAGCTCGGTCATGGTCATTTCATTTTGCTATGGAGAATGAAAGCCGTTTAAAAAGGTCTTTCGCACTATTTCATCACTGCAGTCGGCCATTCCTTTTTTGATATTCTTCTTACGGCAGCATCCGTCTCCTGCCTAGAAAACTCGGAAATTTGGCAGAATTTTCACTGATATTATTCACGTTTGCTGGTGTTCATCGGAAGCATTTAAAAAATCTTTTTAAAAATCCCAATTAATTCGAAGTTAAGCAGCATAAAAGTCCCAATGTTAACAATGACTTACATAGGAAGAAGATACTGAAGGCTTCCGAACCGTTAGGCTGCAAATTAAATGAAAAAATTGGTTCTCTACGGCCTCTCCACATCGTTTCTTTTTGCAGGTCAATACCAGTGTACTTAGTATGGCTGAAGTACATCTCGTGGTTCTATTACGGGAACGAGGCCCTCATGATCAATCAGTGGAAAGACCTCGAGATCGACTGCGGGGATTCCTTCAGGTGCCTTCCCCATGGCGATGTGTGTACTTATTATGGCTGAAGTACATCTCGTGGTTCTATTACGGGAACGAGGCCCTCATGATCAATCAGTGGAAAGACCTCGAGATCGACTGCGGGGATTCCTTCAGGTGCCTTCCCCATGGCGATGCCGTCCTCTCCGTCATGCACTTCGACGTGGTACGATCAACTCTCCTTCTCTCTCTTGAGCCTGCTGTCAGGAAGGTGCGTTAATGAGTGTTGTCTTCCTTTGTCCTCCTTTCTTAGGAGAATCATCTCCGAGACATTTTCATTCTATTCACCATGATGATTGTGTATAACCTCATGGCCTATCTGGTCCTTAGAAGAAGAGCATCTCGCCGGACGTGAAACCTTAATTACTCCTACTTCGGAAGTCTCCCGTGATCGCAACTGCAAATAAAGTTTTCCAACATCTCTTTTGATGTGTGCTGGGCTTTAGGAAGAATGCTTGCCATTTGGGATCAGGAAAAATGCACCAAATATGCAGAATCACGGAAAAGTTACACACGGGTGATCCGGATGAAGAAATGCAAGTTCGACCGGGAAGAGGAAAGAAGACTTATGCAGGAAGTCGAGGACACTCCATGGAAGTGGAAATCCAACCGACTGAACCAAAGTTGTCCCATTCCCTTGAACACCTGGGAAGAGCACTTCTCAACACTCCTAAGTCCACCTAACTTGTTCCCTGAACTTATAGTTCCGAGTGCCTTCTTGAACATGTGATGGGAAGCATGTTACAATCGCCCCTACACAGAAACTGAAGGGATCAAAACAATCCTCACACGACCGAACTAAAAGGCATCAGGATCTGACTTGCTCTCGTATGAACACTTGAAAGGAAGCGTCGAAATCACCGCCCGCATCTGGACAAACATCAACAACCAATGCTTGAAAGAAGGAAGGACAATTTCAGATTGGAAAACAGCACGAATAAAGCCCTCTACAAGGGAAAAGGAGACATAAATCAACCCAACTGAGGAGTTTCATTGCTATCCTGCCCCTTCAAAATACTAACCAAAATAGTAGAGAATGGGTTGTGGAAATTCTTAGACCACTACATCCCAAAAAGCAACATGGATTTATGCCTGGCAGATCCACCATCCAACCCATTCGAGATCTCATCAATGATGTCGGAGAACAACTACGATGGAGACGTTGCTTCCATTTCGCAGCCTTTGTAGACTACAAAAAGGCATTCGACTCGGTCCCACGTGAGAGACTTATCGCTAAATCAATGAACCTAGGATTAAGGGGACAGCTTCAAGGACCTCTCAAGAACATTCTCTCAGATAATTACATCGGAATCAATGATGGACTGCGGCAGAATAAGGCAGTAACACAGAAACTGGGGGTACTTCAGGGAGATTCCCTCAACCCATACCTATTTGCCTGTTTCACCTGGGTCCTACCCTCTGCCGACAAAATGACTCACCCCTCCCTGAAGGTGGCAATTACGTTCTCCAGAATAGGTCCGACAGTCGCAACGGCCGGAAAAAAAAAGAACTGCCCGAGAGAGGGAGACGTAAACCCAGAGGCAGGCAGAAGACTCTATGGGGAGAGCCAGAGACATGGTAAATATACCTAGACTGGACATGGCAGTCGAAGATTTCACGCCGATTTGAAGGGCTGGCGGCCATTACTGATGGCGTCAAGGAGAGGATGAAGCATGGGATTTACTGAGGCGCACATGGTCAATGTATTCAGGATTCGTATACAATGAAAGACCACTGACTGGATTGGGTATCAGGTCTTACAATGATGAATCTGGCTTGATAACTATTGACCCTTTTGCGGGGTCTAACCTTAGGTGTGGCGGAATTTTCATAGCCTGCTGAACAGCTTCATGTAGACCCTGAGCCTAACTTCATGAGGAACTGATAATACGTCCTCTTATTATTGAGTGCAATGAAAATAAAGACGGAATAGGTGGCAATTATCAATTTTCAAAATACCATGCATCGTCTCTGAAGACCAGGTAGGCCGAGGTCTAGGCCTATGCGGTCTTCTTGGAAAGCGTCAAAACTGTGTATTGTGACGTCATGAATTGGAAAGCTATGCGTTTATTGGTCGATTTGACGCCATGAACGATGGCGACTGACCCTTCTAATCGGCGTGCGGCTGCCTGGCTTTCTCCATTGGCCTGTCCAGTCTAGGTATATTTACCATGTCTTTGGGGAGAGCACACGCGATCGCTCTGAGTGCATGCGTCTGTCAGTTGCTCGCGCAAGCCACGAACCACCGACCACGGCCACCACCGCCACCACCACTGACCACAGTAGATTTTATTATGTAGATTTCATGAATCCAGGCCAGGCTATGAGCAATGATGAAATTGAAGTTTCAAAATGAAATGGGCAGGGGGAGTGGAGGACACGCATGGGCGTAAGGCGAGAAAGGGAGAGCCTCCTTTGCGTGCTTGAGAAGCCGAGCGAATGGGGAGCATTAAGCTTTCAAGAAAGAAAGGACTCATCTCTTGACAAAATGGATAAGAACATGCAACAAGTGTGTTGTTTCATTGTACAGGACATCGTTAAGTAAACTTTGTTAATTATTTCTTTTTTTTCTTTCATTTAATTATTTATTTATTTACAGGACATGTATAACAACCTCATCTTGCGTCGTGAAGACAAATGGAGCAGTGAGGTGTAAGTTCGTTTCATGCTCTTCTCCTGGCAGCATAAGATATGCAATAACTGAAGCCGCGAAGGACCAAAAAATTGATGCACCCGGTTTCCGAGAAAGTTTCAAACATGCATTTTCGATCTTACAGAATGTTTCATTGTAAATGCGATATAGCCCCTTCTCTACGAGGCATCTGTCTGGCAAGTTCACTGGTCATTTCCTACATTCTAGAGACCAGAAGTTTTGAAGAGGGTAATGTGAAGCAGTACATATTATTCATCTACGCAATCAAATCACCTGTTGGTGCTCACATTTCCATAATAACGAATGGGAAAAAGCAATAGACGAGACACGTATCGATGCCTCAGTTGCATCGCTTCTTAGCACATATACGGTAGTATATGTGCTAATACCGTACCTAATACCGTACATGAGCGAGTTATGAACCAAATTCATTCTTAGTACGGATGCGAGCAGGAAACAGCGATATGGTCAAACAGTGAGCTTTCCAAGCATAATTCAATATCATTCGATTCTTCTGGGCCAGAAAATAGTCATTTTCAGTGTATTAAGTCGTCCAAGCAATATCATCTGATTACCGTCTTGCGATGAGACTTACGTTTCCGGCGCCATCGGATTCCTTGGTCTTCATGCATATTTCAAGTTCGGCCGTGACGTTCACCGTATCATGGAATGAATTCCCTCATACTAAACAGCTTCTACCATAGCAATGTTGCAGTCAGCCATGTTTGCCTCAAGGCCCTATAGAGTATACGAATTCGCACATTCTAGCAGAAAAGACTGATCAGCAGATTTTACAAGTCCAATCAAAACAGGCGAAGGGTGACCGCCGATCTTCATTGTATCGTAGTTCTTCTCAACATTTCTCTTTACAAATGAGTTGATTGCAACAACGGAAAGGAATCTAAAATGAAACCGAAAAACTGTATACCGGTAAGAGATTCATCAACGTGTCTAAAACAGTATCTGAGAGAATACTGCATGAGTTAAGAATATTTTAAAGCAGTGAAAGCAAGTGATACGATAAATAAAAAAAGGTTTATTACACAAAAGTGATGGCATAAAGAAACCTGGGACTTATTCGGGGTGCGTGAAAGACCCAGACACGTCCGGGGTTTTCCATGGGCATTATCAAATTCAAGAAATCAACCGGAAGCGAATATGACGTCGAGACTTAGGGGTGGACCAGCACGACTCGTTGAATGACGTCACAAAACGAGTAAAAATAGAGTGAGGCTTCCAGAAATGAATTTACAAAGTGGAATCAGTCGAACATTAAAAAAAGGTTTATCTACATATCTAATTCAAATCAAGTCGAGACGCCTTTGACACGAAGCATTCCACCGTAATGAAGTCAGACTCAAATAAAATCGATCCTCAAATTTTCCGGATGTGGTTCTTCACTCCCAATTGCTTAAAACCAAGATGTATGGAAAATTATTCATCCCTACACACACCTCCAGTTGTTTGAATACGGGTGACCTGATCAGTCACTCACATTCCTGCACAATCATGTCAATATCATTATAAATACGGAAATGCACAAAGAGGATGGAAATTAAATAAAAAAACGTGATTCATGAGGACATAGTGGAGCTCAAATCTGCAACGCCAGAGACTCAGTGCCGCCGTGAAAGTGGAAGAGACGACATTTCCATTGGGGTCCTGGATGCTGAAGGGATACTGAAGTTATTTTGCAGGCACTGGAACCTTCTCCTCAACGAATGCCAAAGTGCAGTACGAGTGCTTTTCACGAGGAGGATGTGACACAGACCAAAACTAACGCCTTGAAGGGAATTGAGAATTGTGAAGATGATGCCGATGACAGAGGCTGCCTCACCGATAATAAAGAAGCCCATGATCCACGTCGTGCCCAGAATGCTCGAGAGTACGATAACCGACCTCCCAAACAAATGTAATTCCCTCCTTGTCCCGTGATTTTCCATCGTTTTCCTTAATTGGTTGACCCTAACGATGGCCGCGAGAAAGATGATTCCATTCACTAGCACCACTGCTCCCACGGGGCCTGCGAATGCCCACTTGGATGCACCGTTCAGCCAGCAACATTTATCATTACCGTATGCATCACCCTGCGTGATCCCAGCAGTGAGAACGACGACAAGGGCTGGAATCCCGTAGCAACAACCATAGTAAATGGGAATTCTGCTACGTCCGGTGTCGATGACTTTGATGAGCATATAGTAGATGAGAACACCTTCTGCCATCATCCAAGCGAATGCACATAGGAAGAAATAATGAATAAAGGCAGCAAGGACTGCACATGCCTTCATGTCCTCTGTTCTGGGAAGTCCAATCAAGAGAAGGAATTGTGCCATGAAGAGACTTATGCAGAGGTTTCGGTGAACCACAGTCCTCTCCCCTCGAATCGCTTCAACGAATGTTAAGACGAGGAAAGATGCAAGGAGGAAAAGAAGGCTGATAATTGTTCCAGGAATAGTAATGGCAACAAATATAATATTGTCTGCTGAAATGGATCCGTGTAGGTCCAATAGGACAGCAAAGTTTGTGAGGTGCTCACATCGGCACAATGTGTAATCCGGTGTCACTTCCAAGGCCTTGCAAGATGAATTTCCCCATTCATGCGACATTTTGTCCCAGTAGACGCACATCGGTTGGGTTTGAAGATATTTAGGGACACCAGGTGGTCGTGGAACCCGATAGGTAACGGAGGCATTCGTCACCAT